ATCAATGTTACTAATATTGCGTCAATGCGACAGTTATATAATCCTATGAAAGTGACTAATATTTCATCATCATTTTACAAGATCCAGATGAAATTAATAATCTGTAAGGGTTTTGGCGAATCATGTATCTGAATTATCATATGCCAGTTGTAAAGTTTTTTTTAAACATTGAAGTTTACTGTATGACAGGACTGTGACCAAGAGCTCGAATGATCAACTGATCTCGTCGTACTTTCAGTAGTTTACAGGTTGACTAAAGGAAGTTATTTGTAGTTTGTCTTATTTGACTCAGTTGGTAGAGCTGCCTGCGAATTATCACACCTGAGACGCTGGTTCAGTTTCTTTCTGAATGCTCATCAACGATTCTTTACATTGGCACCAAACGAACTATCATGGGTTGTAGTATTTAGACTTGAATTGAGATTTGGAAATCAAAAGCGTGGCACACACATTAGTTTGCGTGGAACACACACACTTTTATAGTTTGCGTGATTTTCACAGTACTGTCATGTAACACGTCGATGCTCGGTCATAAGAATATACCAGTTCTCGGGATATAATATATGGAATTAAGCTACTCGAGTCCAATATACTTTTTTTCTGGTTATGCATTGTTTTATCGAAGAGGAGAATGTGACTTCTTGCAATTGGAGTGGAAATATAGTGCAGCATTAGATTACAAGGAGTTAACAAGTTGTAAATAGGATGCAGAAGTCCCTCTGGTAGTAGAACCAACTTTAGAATCCTAAAGGCAATGCTGCAGGAAACAAGTATCAGAACTGCACATCTTCTCATACTGTGTGACTATATAAGGAATACACTGGGAAACGGAGACAACAACAGTGAATCAACAATTTAGACTGTAGACAATTATCTAATACCAGCATGTAACTGACTACACAAGATACAGACCTGGAAGTTTATACCTTGTCTTTACAAACAAGGAAGTAATCGTACAGAATTGGAAGTTGGAACATCACTAGGAAAGAGTGACCCTACAACTTTAATTATCATACGTAAGAATGATAAAAGCACTAGGAACCTACAGCGACAGGCTGTTAAACAATATGAAAAAGCATAGCCAATCAATTCTAGACAGACCCTATCTTTTTAAGAAATGTATTCAAACCAAGACGAAGACAAAACCCGGTAAAAAGATGGTAAAATAGCAACTGATGATAATGACAGACATTCTTAACGAATGTTTCTGTAAAATATTCACCACTTATTCACACATCTTAAGCTCTAGGACCAGAAGGCATACTCCCAACATTACTTTGGGAAACAAGAGCGTTAATAAGTAAACTGGTGGCATATTATTTAGCAAATCTCTAGGGGAAGAAAAGTTAATAGATTAATAAATGGGAGTCAACATTACTGCAATCTTAAAAAATGATGGTAAAAAGATTAACTATAGACCTATTAGTCCGATGGGTAGTTTTTAAGACTTATGGAATCGGTGATGACAGAGAGTATTATGGAACACTGTGAGCATAACAACCTGCTGAGCAATGGTCAATAGGGACTTTGTAAAGGCAGACCAACCACATTACAGCTCTTAAAAGGAAAACAGACGAGAGAAGAAATGATATAATTTATTTAGACTTTCAAAACGCCTTTGACATAGTCCCCATCTAAAACTGATAGCAAACACCAATACCATCTGTATAAAAGGTAGAGTGTCAAACATCCTTCCTCAGTAACAGGAACGTGTATTAATCCTTGGCAAAACATCTGACTGAGCGAATTAAAACTGCGGGATCACTCAGGGGAGCGTTTTACGGCCTGTGTTACATTAACGACCTACCAAAAGTTACGGATTTCACCACAAAATTACCGCAAATGATACAAAGCAACGTCAGAACCGCACGGGTCAATTTCAGGCCAACTTGGACAGCCTAGAAGAATGGTTCAAAAAAAGCAATCGAAATTTAATTAAGGGAAATACAAGTCTTTGCATTTCGGACACAACAACGTAAGACACATTTACATTGTAGATGATGAGGAAGTACAATAAAGAGTTCAGAAAAAAATCTAGGAGTCACATTTGAGACTGACCTGAAAAAAGGGAAATCAGATTAGTAGTGGTACTAAAGAAGTACTTCATGCACATGGACAAAGCAATGTTTATTGCACTATATAAAACCCCCATAAGATCACATGCGGTGGATGTTGTAACTTTATGAAATCCATTGTTAATGACAGACGTTACTAGAGCAATTGAAATGTTCAAAGAATAGGTTGTCAGATCTATAAGGATTTATCATATCAAGATTTGATACTTTTCCTGAAATGCTTATCCTGCAATGAAACAGAAAGAGATATGATGCCATTTAAGTATGCAGACTCCTTAATGGAATCGGCGAAACAGGACAAGAAATGTTTGAAGCCATTAGCCGATCTTTACCAGAGTTATCGTCCCTTAACAGTCACAACAACTTTTAAAGCTTAACATTGACGTCCATACCTTGGTTTTACTTTTATATGATTTAAAGAAATTGAACAAAATATTTCTGTGCGGTCACCGTGCGCAGCTATCGGCAGAACAGGCATGCAGAATCAAGGTGATTGTGAAGCTTATACAGACCTAAGACCAGGTAAGTCAGGTGATTCATGGACATATGATATAGCTCTGTATTATAAGTCCCTCGCTAATTGTATGAAACATCTACAAATAATTACATGTATGGTATTATATCTATGAATTTTCACTTTTGTATGAAATCAAGATAATGATAAGGTTGTTTAGTTTTATGTGATGTGTTATATAGCACGGAAAGCCGTGTAGCGCTACGTCTAGTTGAGAGACAACTCCTGCCAAGTTTTTTTTAATCATACATGTCACCAGCAAAGTGTACTAGGTCTAGAAGTGTTATGGGATTTGTTTGTGACGTAGTTCACAGCAACATTGCACCAGACTTTTTTTCATTGTCTTTGTCAAGACATTTTAGATGGATTTTGGGGATCGACACTGTAAATACGTTTCGGTAGCCTTTCCAATATATTTAAAGATATGGTTATGAAGGATATAAAAGAAGGGGATGACATTGAATAAAAAACCAATTAGAGACCATATAATATTCTATTTTTATTTTAATTCGGAAGTCAAAATATACATGTAAATTGTGTATGTAGGGATATGTAAATTCCTCTAGACTAGCATAAGTCTGACTATCTATCCGTGATTTTATTTTTCATTTTTTTTCTTCGTCGCAGTCCATGACAAAAGTAAAATCGTGGAAAGATAGTCACAACCCTTCAGACAAGACTAGCCCCTAAAATGGTATCCAATCAGTAAAACATGATCAAAGTGGCATTTTCACCATTCCGAATTCCGATGCCTTATTGATCGTCAAACAATCTTTCTTAAGTATTTTAAAGACAACTGCTACTGTAAAGATAATTGAACTTGAATTGATCAGATTCGGAGCTAATCAGGCGCGGATCACAGATTTCGGATTAGAGGGGCGCACATTTTCACACTAAAAAATATTCTTTCCATCTGCTCCTCTCACTCACTTTTTCCTCATTTTTCTAGTGTTTACAGGAGGGGTGTGTGAAAAGAATGCATGTATCTTTTTCTTTGTTTCGACAAATTATTTAACAAAATTCCTTATCTAGGTTTTCGTTGATGCTTTCTTATCAATCATTACCTTTGGGACTGATTGAAGAGATAATTTCGGTATTTATTCCAAATTCTACAAATTTCTGGAGTCTGAATTGGGCGTAGCCCCAATTATTTGTTTAATACTATCATGTTAATGTCCCAGTTTGCACATGAATGCAATCGAGTGTGATGATAAAATTTCAGTTTTCATATCATTATCCACGCAAAAAAAGTCACATTGTCAATTTCACCCTATGTCCCACTCTCTCTCTCACTCTGGGTACACCAGTGCTAATAAACCTTCTTCATAGGCGTTAAAAGTCTTGGACCGTTTCTTTAATCTCCAAGGGTCATTTCTTGCTTCTTGTTTGTGTATAAAAGGGAAGCAATTCGTACACATATATAAAAATAGTATCGTAATAATTAATCGTTGAAAAAGTAGTGCAATATAAGAGGGTATCGTATGTGATAATCCATATGACATTTAAAACTTAAAGGGAGATTGAGATAAGATATTACACAGATTTCATAGACAACAGATATTATCAATACGCATGAGATATTGAATACAAACTTCTCCCCGACGGAAGTTGACATGGTCTTACCGGAAGCTGTCCGTATCCAAGCAACATTTCAACATCTCACACTGCTTGGTGGTCTATAGAACATTTTCTTGATTATAAGGAACAGGCAGAAAATTGACGGCTGCTTCGCACAGGTAATGTGATTTGAGGTTTAAAGAAGTGTCATTTACATTTCACAATCAAATTAGAATAAAACTAGAACGGCGTGTACAATTTACCGTTCCACAGTTCAGTTTGGCGACGGTGTTGTGTACTTTATTTTGTTGACAATTCCAACATGCCGCTGTAGAAGATTTTGAAAGAATATTCTTATTTTCTGATTGCATTGAAAATTATCATCCATTAAACTACATAAACGCTATGACTTCAATACATTGTGATAAATTTGTATGAATCTAGATGATATTTATTTAACTGACGTACATGGAAACTGCCTGTCTCAGTTTTCAGTGTCGTCGTTTTCTTCCTCTTGTGCAAGCTACGTAACAGGGCATCACTGCACAGTTTCGATTGAAATATTACACCTTCATGGATATGGTACCTAGTTTTTATTTTGTCTATGATAGTTGGTTTGCATCGTATTCAAGTATCAATCCATATAGATACAAAAATAAACAATAATGCATATTAAGAAGGGAAATTTGATATTTTAATACCGTCTTGTTTCTATCACGTGAAGCAAAGGAGGAAGGTTATGATTATGGGTTCTATAATCGAACATGTTCACCTCTTGTGCAACTTTTTGATTTACATGAATGACAGATAATAGCCTAATGCTATTGATTCTTTTTGACATGAAGGAAGTCAACATGCCTGCTGCTCTAGTAACTGCGGCAGATCTGGAGGATAATATCCGCACTCTGTCACTAACAAAGAGGATACGAGTCACTGAATTCTTCCAAGACTTTGACAAGCTCCGCTCAGGATTTATTTCAGGTAATCTAATAAGATATAAATATCATCATGTAATGTTTGGCCTCCGATACTGTTATGTTCAATATAAGTATGAATTCCTTTATTTCATAACACAGCAACAAGGAAAATTCATGTCTTGCAATTTGCATATTCTTATTGTCTGTCATATAAGATGAATTATTGCTTCAAAAATTTGACAACATGATCATTACTGTCCTCATGAAGATGTTCATAAGGTGATAAAAATGAAAGGATGATAGCCTCTGATAAGCAGTATTTACTTTTCAGACCAACAGTTTTTCCGGTGTTTATGGCTCACCCTAGGACTCCAGCTAGATGATGAACAAGCAAATGTTTTGCGAAAAAAATATGACTTAAAACGAGATCAAAGAATGCACTATAAGTCTTTCTGTGAAGAAATAGAGAAAAACTTCAATCCTGGTGATCTAACAGTTGATCCAAAAAGTCAGAAAAAAGAAGCACCAGAATTGTAAGATATTTTTATACATTTAATTTAATGTTCTATTTTTTTTATATTGTCATCCCATACATAAAACCTTGTGGTTTATTTAGAGTACATTCCATTTTTGGTACTATGATTCAATAACATAAAAGAATTTAAGTTAATCCTTATTAACAAAACATTAATACAGTATGTAGCAGTGATTTTGGTCTAATAAGATTAATTTCATGAAGAAGTACAGATAAATATATCATTATCATTTTTCTCAAAGAATTTCAGAAACTGTTTTTATGTTTTAATGTACATGCTGCAAAATAATTGATGCTTAGTCAAATAGGACTAACTACACCTCATGAAGATTTAAATTCTGTCTTGAATAAAAGGTCAAGCACATACATGCATTTTCTGTTCATAACATCACAGTTTGGGAACCAAGCGGTCTGTACGACCATTGAGTCCTCAGACAGAAGATAAGATCCTGAAGCTCCTACAGAGAATGCAACAGTTCTATCACTACCATGGGATCAACCTGAGGACATGTTATGAGGACTTTGATCGCCATCACATGGGTGTCGTCACAGAAAGCCAGGTAAAGGATTTGTGCCAGCAACTCTAGTGATGCTGGATTTTAGACTGAATACCAATTAGATATCTCAACAACAGATTATATATTTTTAATTTCGATATATACTGCAAATTTGGTGGAGGTTATTACTTCCCTTTAATCAATTACTGTTATCAGTGTAAGATGTAAGGGATAAATTGTATGTGCCAAGATTTTGAAACAATCAAAATATTTCATAGTTTTTGAAAGTCTAATTTGCTCATGCTTATAGAATACATTTTGCATTGTGCAGTTTTATCGGAGTTTCCCTGGCCCCCCAGATGTCAATGACAATGAAATGAGTATGTTGGTGATGAAGTACCGAGACCCTGATAAGCCAGGTCTCCTCAACTATCTCAATCTACACCACGACATCGTGGCTATAGGACAACAACTGATGGGGTCTGTTAGCAGTGTCCTGGACAGGAATGTAGATCTTGTCCCATTGATGGTAGGTGTTCATTTTATCGCTCAGCTCGATCAATAGGGAAAATGTTAGACATTTTGATGGAATATTCAAATGATATGTCCACATCTTTTTGTTCCTTGTTTTTGCTTTTATTTTCTGTATCATTGTAGAGAATATCAGCAGAATATATTAAGATATGTAATCTGTGAGTAGCCAAAACTGAATATAAATACCAGTATTTTTCCCCAATTGTGCTTTTGTCAGGCATGTGTCTTATTTTTTCCTAGTATTAAAAATTGTGAATTATGTCCATGGCTTGCTTGATTCCCATTAATTGATCTGTTTATTATAGAAGTAACCTGTGAGAATCTCCATTGAAACATACCACTATATCTGATGGTCACAGTAATCTTATGAAATATCTTGTAGCCAAACTTGGATCCAGCCCTCAGCATGATCTTTGACAAGATTAGAGTATCTGTGTATAAAAATGGAATACGTACACCTGAGTTTTTTAAGGACCATGACAAGCTGAGGAGTGGTATAATCACAGAAAATCAGTTTGTATGTGGTCTGGCTTTAGCTGTGGGTAAGGAGGCACAGCTATCACGTGCTGAAATACAGAAAGTGGTTGAATATTACAGACAGCCTGATGGACGTGTCCAGTACCAGGAATTCTGCGACATGATGGAAAATGGTAGGGAAATAATTTCATAAATTTTATAGCTTAACACAATGGCAATTTGATGGTGTAATAGGATTTTTTCTCTCTATGTGAATTTTTATAATAATTCTTTCATGTTTTTAACATCATGTTGATTCAAACATTATAATGCTACAACAAATGTTGAGAGGTTTGGAAAGGTGTATCTTCTCATTCGTTATAAATTTCTATTGTGATTTTCATCTGAGAATGCACCTGTTTTACTTACAGCATTTAACATTCCCCATTTGGACAAGAAACCACTTCAGAATGTTGTCCGGCCATTGAAGGGAACATTACATAGAGTGAGTGTGCTTTTCTTCTATACACACAGCAAATTTGATATTAATTAATATATTTAATTTAAGAAGAAATGATTAATTGCATTTTAGGGCCACAGTTTTAAGTTTTGAATTGTGCTTATCAAATACATATTTTTACAAAGATTCAAGTACTCTGATATTTCCAACAGGTCTATTTATTAATTGTATTATGATACAAATGATGCTCATTGTATACCCAATGTACTTTTTATATATACTTATATATATATATCTTTTGAAAGATTGGAATTATTTGTAATGCTATCATTAATATGGAGAAACAGCTTAACTGTAATTAAGTATGCATAATTGTCAAAAATCTGCCATTTTTGATAATATGTCATTAAAGAAGAAAAAATGATACAATAATTGCCATGCAGATATATGTTTGTCCTAGTTGAATAATACAAATTTGTGATGGTAGTTACAAGAATACGTTGTCTTCTCCGTGTAGGGACTGAAGTCTCTGACAGATGACCAGGAAGCAAGAATCAAGGTCATCCTTGGGGAAATCTTAGAGCAGGTCAAAAGGAGACGTCTCATGATGTATCCATACTTCAAAGATTATGACCGGGTATGTAGCTGTAATAACCTCGGTTAGTGCAAATGTCTCATTGTTTCATGAAAAATAGATGGCTATCTTAATAAATATGAAGATCATTCTTTGTTTACATGTCTTATAGCTTTTAACAGTGATCAAGATCCCAGGGTATTGCTGAGAGATATATTTGGTTGGCATGTTTAAGGGGTATTGATGATGGTTATGTTTGATGGGCATGGTTACACTGAATTGATGAGGGTTATGTTTGGTGGGCACAGTTGCAGAATATTGATAAGGGTTATGTTAGTTGGCATGGTTACAGGATATAGGTGAATGGTATGTTTGGAGGTCATGATAACAGAGTTTTGATGAATGATATGATTGGTGACTCTGATTACAGGTCTCTGATTTTGACTTTGGTTGTTGACTGTAATAGGGTAGCAGGGTGTTATTAAGGAGGTTCATGATGTGTGGACATGATTGCAAGGTATTACTTAGGAGTATGATTGGTGGGCATGATTGCAAGGTATTATTTAGGAGTATGATTGGTGGGCATGATTGCAAGGTATTACTTAGGAGTATGATTGGTGGGCATGATTGCAAGGTATTACTTAGGAGTATGATTGGTGGGCATGATTGCAAGGTATTACTTAGGAGTATGATTGGTGGGCATGATTGCAAGGTATTACTTAGGAGTATGATTGGTGGGCATGATTGCAAGGTATTACTTAGGAGTATGATTGGTGGGCATGATTGCAAGGTATTACTTAGGGACATGATGTGTGGGCATGATTGCAAGGTATTATTTAGGAGTATGATTGGTGGGCATGATTGCAAGGTATTACTTAGGAGTATGATTGGTGGGACATGGTTTTAGTGTATTGATGAGAGATAAGATTGGTGGCTGTCATTACAGGGTATTGATAAGGGCTTTGTTTGTTGGAGGGGGTTTTGGGGCATGGTTACAGTGAATTAATTAGTGCAATGATCTATGACTGTATGTGTTGATAAGGGCTTTGTTTGTTGGAGGGGGTTTTGGGGCATGGTTACAGTGAATTAATTAGTGCAATGATCTATGACTGCCATTAACAGGGTATCAATGTAAGTTATGATTGATGACTGTAATTACAGGGTATTGCCTACACCAGAGTGGTCACGAAGACCCAGTTTGGACGTATTCTCCACTTCCTCAGCCTCAACATTAATGCCGAGGATCTGAAATTAATCTGTCTTAAGTTTGAGGATCCAGCAAGTGGTGATGTCAATTATCCTGACTTTGTCCAAGCTGTTGACCAAGGTATGATCATTTAAGTATGTTTATAAAAACACAGGTACTCTATCAGTCCCTATATCTATCTACCTACTACACTACTCCTCAAGCAGGCTTCATAATTGTATTCAAATCTCTTATCCCTTAAATTTGTAGTAAATACATCATTCTCTTATATAGAATTTGTTGGCCATACTTTGGATGATGCAAACATGATGGACAAGAACCGTACTAATACCCCAGTACCATCCAAACCAGTCAGTGCTTCAGACAGCAATGTGAGCTATGAGGACCTAATGAGCAGAATCAGGAATATTGTCCTTACCAACAGACTGCGAGTAAGTTTTGACGAGAAATTTTCATCATTCCCGATCAGACACATCATCATCCTCAACAACTGACTCGATAAAATATTCAGGAAATAGATCCATGATATCTTTGAGTACTTTCCCCTTTGTTTCACTATGGTCATATTTAATTCTGCTTTATATACATGGCTAGTATGAAACATGATATATATATATATATATACATCAGTCTGTATCCACTGCATATATCCAGGCAACAAAGGTAAGCTGACAATGTGGCATTGTTTTCTGTCCCCAGGTGATTGAGTATTTCCAGGACTATGACCCCTTAAGGAGTGGTTCAATCAGTAAGTCACAGTTTCGGCGGGGCCTGTCCGTTCTGGGTCTCAGTAAGCTAGGTCAGCATGACCTATTGGATCCACAGTTTCAGGTCCTCATTGATTATTACCAAAACCCAGATAAAGAAGACCAAGTCCTTTGGACCAAATTTACCTACGATGTTGAAACAGGTGAGCAGAAAAAAGATGTCCATTCAGTTCTTTCCATTAACTTAAACGTAGTCAAAATTCATCTGTTTCAAGATGTAAAATTTATATTTATGTTTGAACTAAGTTTGATGACTTTTATTGTAGTAAGTTTTAAAGTCTTCAAGAAACACTCATAAAATTCAATATTAAATTTCATGAATTCTGCCCGAGTGTTGTTTAAAAAATATTCAGTTGTTGGATTTACTTGATATATGTTTTTGTTGTGATTGTAGTCTTCACACAGCCAGGACTGGAAAAAGAGCCAACCTACCAGGTCCCTCCTATGGAAATGTTCAGGGTCCCCAAACCTGGCACCATAGACTGGGCCTACGCCACAGAGGACCACAAAGAACTGTTTGAGAGCACCATGGAGAGGTTGAGACAGAGAATAAACCAGCGCAGGGTTCTGGCCAAACCGGTATTCCAGGACTTTGACAAGTAAGGATGATTTAGTAGACATTTGTACAGACAATACTGCAACACAGTGACAGGGAGACAGATGTAACTGTCTCCTTCATTGAATTAGTTTTAGTTCCTTACTGCGACTAAGCTTAGTGATAGGAAATTATAGGAATCAAAATATTACACCTTTTATTAGAGAGTTTTATTTAAGGAGGTCACCTTTAGATGAATATCTCTCCTATACCTGTTATCAATTGCGCCCAATGCTGATGTGGGGGTATATTGGAGGCAACTTACAGAAAATAGCAATCTATCTAATATTTGAAAATTTTGCTTAAGTTAGTTATTGAAGTTTCTTGTCTTGCAGACATAACAATGGTCATGTGACAAAGGCCCAGTTTCGACAGTGTCTCACCATGCTTGAGTTGCACTCTACAGAGGCAGAAATGGCAGGTCTGGAGGCAAAGTTCTGTAATGATGTGGGCTTCAACTACCTTGCCTTACTGAATGAGCTGCAGCCAGTCATACCTCCAAAGTTTATGTATGAGACTCGTCTGGAGGAATTGCGCCTCACAAACAAGAAAACAAAACTCCCAGAAATCAATGCTGCAAATGACTTGGAGGAAGTTCTCATGAAAGTGAAGACAAAGGTAATATTGCAAGAGATCAGTGTGACTGGTGAAATTTTTCATTTGGATAGATTTAATTGAAATGGCATTTATCATTCACTCCAACTGTCAGTACGTCTGTTGCATTAAGACTTTCTCATCAAATCAAAAATTAATGACACATTTGCAACTTTTGTTATATTCCCTCTGGAAAGTTACAAAGTGAATTTTAAGTACCAGGTAGTCAAAATGACAGTTATGCTTAAAACCATCTTAAAATGGCAATTGTACCAATTAAAGGACAAGCTAATATTTAAAAAATAGCTTAACTCCAACACATTCTAGTTTTAACTTAGCTACGTACATCATATGTAAGGATAAGTGTACATTTCATGTTCATGTGCTTTCAGGTGAGCAAGGAACGCATTCGAGTAATAGACTTTATGAAGGACTACGACAAGCTGAGATCTGGTAGAGTGTTGAAAACATCATTCAGGCGAGCTCTAGATCTGTGCCGCTTTGAGCTAAAGGAAAGTGAGGCCTCTATACTAGAGGACAGGTATGCACCAATCTGTAGTTGTCTCTCCCTTTACTGTATAACTGGTAAGCACCAATCTGTAGTTGTCTCTCCCTTTACTGTATAACTGGTGAGCACCAATTTGTAGTTGTCTCTCTCTTTACTGTATAACTGGTAAGCACCAATCTGTAGTTGTCTCTCCCTTTAGTGCATAACTGGTAAGCACCAATCTGTAGTTGTCTCTCCCTTTACTGTATAACTGGTGAGCACCAATTTGTAGTTGTCTCTCTCTTTACTGTATAACTGGTAAGCACCAATCTGTAGTTGTCTCTCTCTTTACTGTATAACTGGTAAGCACCAATCTGTAGTTGTCTCTCCCTTTACTGTATAACTGGTGAGCACCAATTTGTAGTTGTCTCTCCCTTTACTGTATAACTGGTAAGCACCAATCTGTGGTTGTCTCTCCCTTTACTGTATAACTGGTAAGCACCAATCTGTACTTGTCTCTCTCTTTACTGTATAACTGGTGAGCACCAATCTATAGTTGTCTCTCTCTTTACTGTATAACTGGTAAGCACCAATCTATAGTTGTCTCTCTCTTTACTGTATAACTGGTAAGCACCAATCTGTAGTTGTCTCTCTCTTTACTAGAGGACTAGTAAGCATCAGTCTGTAGTTACTTGTCTCTCCCTTTACTGGATGATTTACATGTGAATTGAGATAACCTGTTAATGTTGATTTGCATGTGTATACTTTATGCATTTGAACTCTTTACTTTCATGTGGTTTGTAGGTATCAGTCTATTGGAGATGCTGATCATGTTGACTATGTAAGATTCTCTGATGAAATGGAGTCTATTTTCACATTTAAGGAGCTAGAAAAGGCTCCTCTTCAAAACCCTGTTCAGTTCAAACCTCCCCAAGAGTGGGCCCTCAACAAACTGGAAGGGGAAAATCAAGTGAAATGGCAAGCCTGCATGAACAGAATAGCAGAGAAGGTAGGTGCAAACCTCTGAACGTTAAGAGGAATATCATTGTTTTATGCCATCTAAAGGTATTTGTCAAATAAACATGATAATATTGTTTAAGGTCATTTTCTTTCATTTCATTTACAGGTGAGGAAACACCAAATGCAGCTGTTTCCACTGTTTGAGGATTATGACAGGGTCCACAATGGAACAGTATCGAGGTCTCAGTTCCGCAGAGTGCTGAGTGAGCTGGAACTCGGCAGCCTCGTCAGTGAACAGGAGCTTGATTTACTGTGGTTTAAATTTGAAGTGAAGATTGGCGGCAAAGATGACGTAGATTATACTGCTTTCTGCGAGATGATTTATGAGCTGGCAAAATTTGAATGGAGGAAGCCATGATGGAAATAAAAGATGTTAAATTGAATATAATAAAAACAAGAAAACAAAAAACAAGTTAATAGAAAAAACATTTAAAATACCAGTGTTACTAATTAAGAATACAGACAATTTGAAAGTGGATGTTGAAACTTGGATATAGAAAATGGAAACTTTGTGTGTCCTCATTTTGAACCGAGCTAGTGATGGTTTCCACAGACTAGGTGTTGGATTTGAGGAAACTTTTTTATTCTTATTTGTTACCTTCTGCCTACATCATTACATGTCAAAATAGAACTGAAAATGTCTGTGGTATCTTTGTGATGTCCTTACAAATATACAATTTTTGTAATGGTGGAAATGAACCTGTGTGAATGCAATACATGTCTCTCTGCTTAGTGATCTCCTCGTATGGTGATAACAGAATAAAAAACCAATGTTAGCAGACCTACACTATTGTTAGAAATGTCCTGTTGTGTTTGGGACTGTAAGTTATGATGACACCCATTTTCATGAAAATTGTATTTGTCCTTATAACCTGCTAATATGAAATTATCATTTTACAACAATGTACTATTGTCTTTTGAAGTATTATCCTTTTACTGAATTAAATTTTATCTTACAGATATATTTTTTACGTTTACATCAAAGTATTGTTAATAAATTATTGTTTTTTTTTCTGGATGCCTGATATTTTTTCAGCTGTGAATATGAGACTGTGATATATATATTTACTTCAGTATTTTAATCATTGCTATGGCTATGCAGGCACACAGGACTTGCTGGCAGCACATTGTTTGTAGATAACAATGGAGCTGGATGGGTCTGCCATTCTGTATCCATACCATGTACTTGTGTATATATTGTAAAGAACAATGAAATAAATATCATCTGTAAATAAGTAAAGTTGTTTCCTTGTTTTGTGCATCATTTTTCCTTATAAAGGAGAATAAAGATATTTGATAATTCCTGTAAGATAAATGATCCTGGTAATATGGAGGATATTGATAAATTGATCACATGTACAATCCAGTCAAATGTCTGCTTCTTAGTTTTCCTGTGTCTCAAATGAAGCCCACCCATTCCTGTCAGTATTTCAAAGTCCATTGATAAGCCCATCCCCTAACTTTGAGTCAGTTATTTTGTTGCCTCGCTTAGCCTACAGCAGAATAAACAGTTGTAACTGTTTTTTTTATTTACTCACAATGAAGACTATGGGAAGCAGTTGGCAACCATATACTAAAAAAAAAAAAAAGACAATAAACTATCACCATTCAACAAACCTTTGAGAACACTGGTGTTGCTTTGCTGTATAGTTGAGCATATAGTCATTCTTTACTGGATATATAGATTCAAAATGGCTGCAAGACCAAAGAGCGATTTGAAACTTGAAAGATTCTTTACAATTTTTCATAATATTTTTGCATTCGTGTAAATACTGATGTTCTGTCATACATGTGCAATTATATGTATGAAATAATATAGGAAACCATTGAGCTTGCTCTATATCTTGGTGTAATGACACAAAAAAATAATGTTATTTTACTGCTATCATGTGGAAAATTAGTGTTCAATTGAGTAAAAAAAAATGTGAAATTATTCACAAACTTTTAAAAATTTTACTCTGCACATTTATATACTTGTATATTATGAACTTCTTCAGTATTCATACTCAGTGGCTCTTGTTGGAACTTTTCTTAACTAGTTTTAAAGATATATTTCAATGGGGTTTGACTTGCTACATTATAAATAATTGTTTGTCATTACTCTACCACTCATGAAAATATATGATATTTTGCCTATGCTGTGCTACTTGACAAAAAATTGAGCTTTGTAAATAATTCAACTCTGCTACTTTGTACAACACACATTAGGTATATTTTGGAACTTCACGAAGAGAAATCGCTAAGTTCTATTTTATAAATTCCACCTCAACATTAGGCCCCATATTTTTTAACAATATCTATTGCACAAATCCTACCTAAACTTTACCCAAAGCTTCTTCACAACCAATGCCTGCATGGAAGTGATTTATGGGTCCTTGAGTAACAGGTCAAGGTCACTTACTACAAATATAAAATTGTTTCTTCAAAATGTCTTCATTTTTGCAGGGATCATTACACTTAGTCGATCTTCTTTGCTGGAAGTGCTAGTTCTCAGTTACTTTTTGCTCAGAGGTCAAAGGTAAAGGTCGCGATTACTATATGGAGATATGGGCGTATGCAGCAAAAATACATCACATCTAAAATTTTATGCATAGATAATCACTTATGACACAATGAACTGAAATTAAATGAGAAGTCACCTTACCACAGGTCAAGGTCATCAGGTCTAATTTTAAATATTTTACTGGAAATCGGTTGACAGATCATCATGATGTGTCGTAATAGAAGAGGGCTTCATCTGAACAAAACTCACAGTCATTGTGTCAAACATCAATGTTAACTTTCACAACAGGGCCGGCGGAACGGGGGGCTCAAAATAAAAATGAAAATTGCAAATTTTACAGATGATATTTAATATTCAATGATAGTTAAGTTTTAGCAAGTCGATTTTCCTCATAGCATATACACTGTACTGACAAAACACAATTCAGTGAAAATATAGTATATATTCATTTCTTTGAATCATATCGTTGAAATATTTCAATCTTCATAATATGAAAAGTTTTACTTGACCTTATCGAACAAAGAAGCGATGCAAAATCAGTCATCTGATGTGAACTTTCCAAATACCCTTTCGCAGTTTTCATTGTTTACAAATTCATTTGCAACATCAACTTAATTAATAGATGCAGTCGCCTCTTTGTGGACATGAAGTTGCATGCAGTTTTCCAGACGTTGTGTCATTGTTGATCGCAGATAGGTTTTGATTCTGCGCAATGGCCGTTTACACACAGCATTGGTTGCTGGTATCAAAAGTAACAATTTCAGAAATTTTACAACTTCGCAAACAATCTCATGTTGACCCTGTTATGTTGTGGTTACATTTACATTGTGGTGTAAACAGCGAAATCAAAACACGGTCCTGTAACTGCTGCAAAAGCACGTTATTTTTAAAACAGAAAATTTTGGTCAAAAACAAATTATATCAACTCAACATAAGAAATTTTAATGACCGACACAATATCTTTAGCATGAATTAAAAAACATTTCAAGACAAATGTATATATTATCATGCCTAGTAATGATTTGCAATTTACATTTATTATTGTCATCATCACAACTTAAGGAATTTTACAAAAACATGGTTGAAAACAAAGTTTTTGTGTGTATTGTAGCTTTTGTCAAATTGCTTCCGCCGGGTTTGTACAATATACCGTTTCCTTACCTAGTAAATATTTTGTTACGCCATTATGAAGTGAATTGTTCTTTGGGTCAGGCTATCATTGAAAAAAAAAAAGTTGTTGGGGAATATATCAATAACAGTTTGAGATCAATATCACACTAGATTTTTTATTTCCTTTACCTTAATGGCCGAAGTGGACCTTTTTTTTTGGATATCTTCTGATGAGTCCACTAAACACGATTTTCAAAGTGTTCCAGTAACAAACAGGATCCTTGCTCAGAGAGAGAGAGAGGGAGACTTCAAACTTCCTATATTACTTTCTTCAATATACGGCAAGATACCACAGAAAACTAAGAGTTACTTCTCCAAAATGTAGGACGAAATATTAAGTATTATTTCTCTACTCCAAATTGTAGTAAAAAAAGTTTGGTTTCTGTAACCTAGATAAGACTAAAAATATACTACAAATCTACTGGCGATGAACGTTATGTTGTTAGCAAACATGTCGCTAGCAAGACTATTTCCGGAATACAGCGGAAAATTACGAAGAATAATCGATATATCATTTACCTAGAAATAACCTGAAACATGTGGAGAATATTAATACTTGATACCAGCTATGTGAAATTGACAAATAAAGTGTAAAATAATTAGATAAATTATCTTAGATAAAAGTCGTAAAAAATAGTTAGAGGCTATCTTCACTGAACGTCATCGTCGACCAATGAAATAGCTGTTTTCTTAACACGTGCCCAAACCGCACTGTGAATCGGTCCTTGTGAATGCCTACCTCGCCGACAAAGAACAAGACCTAAGGATCAGACAAATAACATCATGGCAGAAGAAGGAGGCGAATACAGCTACGAGGCAAATGGAGAAGGATTCGAACAAGCACAAGGTTTTGAAAACTTTAGTGGTGATGTTGAAGCTGCAGAGCCAATGGATGAATCAGAAAAAGCTGCTGGCGACACCGTAGAAGGTGGCGAAGACGACGAAGACGACCGGTATGTTCAGATTCATTACTCTCGAGATTTGTATTATCGTCGAATTCTATACGCGAAAGCTTTCTTATCCTGCTTTTATAACTGAACATCAACTTAAATGCACGCTTTCCAGTTTGTAAAATGTAAAATAATTGACTGCCTTTGTTGATATTCGAGTCCCAAACATGGAGCAAATGGCGCCCATTCACAAGTCACGTGATCCACCGCGTGGGTAAGCTAAAATCATCATAATAGACTTAAAAGTTGCTAAAACCGTTTTGGTAATCTAAAAATAAAAAGTTGTGGATTTTAAAATAATCGGTTTTTTTTTGCTAATATGAAAATTCATTTATTCCAGTAAATTGTTCGTGGGAAACCTGAGCTGGGAAACCCAGCAGAGTGAGTATGCCTTTTTCGTCGATCAATATTGGTGGAAATACCATCGGCTGAACCATGTTGCATGATCAAAATCCGTTTAGATCTTCTGAGTGCTTACTTTTTATGGTGACCGAGAGTCATTGGCAAAACTTAACCTTGCATGATTTTATATATTAATATAGAAAGAATACCAACACTAATGTTAAGCATTAGTATTCTTGAAAAAAGTATGATGCCTTTGTTGCAAATTATTAGAAAAACTTTTTCTGTTGTATTCTAAATGACCTAGCATTTGGATAAATAGTTGATTTCTCGAAGCAGCAACTATCCCTCAAACTAGACCCATACGAGGGGTTGTGTCCAACCTGATTATAGCATAAAAGTTAATGACAAATATATGTATTTGCAGCTTAGGTATTGTCCATTGTTCAATTTAGTATATCAATAAATTCTAGCTTCACTCTTGTGCTTTTGTTGACCTAACTTTCAAACATTATAATTTTGGCCAATGCAAACTATGTATATATGCAATATTCTAAACAAATAAAGTGATTAAAGGAGAAGAGACTCCATTTTATATAGTGTGCATATTTAGATTTTTCTTTTTTTTTTAACTCAACGTGTTATTTTGTAAAGCTTTAGAGGAGAGTGCTAATGTTCTTTCTGCTTCAAGATGGAATAGGAAAAAGAGCATTTATACATTTTTCTTTCATGGCACAGAAGTGGTTTTGTCATAGGTTTTTTCAAACAAATAATTACATGCCCAATACTGTTAATTTCAAATTTATGCCAAAACGCTTAAATGTGATAATGTGAACTTAATGAGAAAACTTTACAGACAGCAATGGGTTAGGCACCTTTTGGGAAGTTAGATGTTAGGTGCCTGTCTCAAGTTTCTTGCCATGTAAACTTCTATTGTTTTGGTAATTGCATGTGTGTAACTTTTACTGAAACTTTGATTTTTGTGTCTTGGATATTTGTGTCTCAAGATCCATACTTTTCCTTTGGAACTCCCCCAAATTTTAAGAACCCTCTAAATTTCTTTGTGATTTGATTAGTCAGAATTTTTAAAATGGTGGGCTGCACTGGCTTGAAAAATATCTTGCAAAAATTCTAAACTGTGTTGAGCAAATAAGTGCAAGTCGTTAAATGTTTGTTAATCAAAAGTTAAAAGTTGTGATCAATAAAATTATTGGTTTTATGGAGTTTTGGTCTAGGTCATTGTGTTGTTTCACAGATGAAAGACAATGATTATGCAACTGTTTCTTATGCAGGGATAATTGCATTGTCAAAGCATTAAGGTCAAAAAGAAATTCTTGCAAAGTATAATTAGTTTAAATGAAAGGTATTGGCTGGTCATAACTGGATGCAAGCAAATAAAAGTGGGAGATTAATCTTAACAGAAAGTAATTTATGGGAATAGGTTATGACATTCGGTTTGATCTTTGTATTTCATTGCCTTTTCTTGTTACAAAATTAACTTGAAACCTATAATTTTAGAAATATTTGTTTTAAATCTATCAACACTGTTTCATTGCAGTTTCTCCACTAGTCTATTCAATCAGTTATAAGAAAATTTAAAAAAAAAAAATTTCAAATGTTGGCGAAAAGTTGGTAAAATTTTCTAATTACATGAAAGTTGGGGATAAATTATTTCCATGGTCAAACATTTTACTGTGACTAAAGCAGTTTTCCAATTCAATGAAGAAAAAAAAAACCTGTCTGGCTTTTATTGGATAAATCCTTTTAAGATATAGGTGGACTGGACGGCTGTAGGGGCCTGTGTGGAGGCTGTTAAAAATTACTATTATTTTGGTCAGTGAAAAGTAACAACTGGTTGGGGGAAAGTCAGGGAATTTTATGTTGATTGTAGACTTGCAACTCTGTGGGTGTTGTACATTGTCCTGTCTCAAGATTCCAAAATGACCAACATATCAAAAAATAAATAATTGTTTGGGTATATGACGATATCAATACATATAATTGCAGTATTTTTACACCACTAAATGTAAGCTGGTTTACCAAATATTTATTGCAGAGGACCTAAAAGATTACTTCCAAACCTTTGGAGAAGTCACAAGTTGCACATTAAAAACAGATCCAGAATCAAGAAGATCTAGAGGATTTGGATTTGTGGTATTCAAGGATCCAGCAAGTGTAGAGAAGGTAATTGCGGGTTATACAAGTCTTTTGAAGTAGTGTGAAACTAGTTTCTTTTAAGTGAAGAAGAATGTAGTGATTTCTGTTATGTAAAGATGCTTATATTGCACCTAGGCCTATGTGTCATGTGCTTTGACCAATTTGTGATAATGATACATATAAACATTGCATTACGTTTTGCTGCAATACATGTCATATCTTCTATGCCTAATCCCAGTATAATCATGTGACGAAACTTACTATTGAATACGGTTTTCAACCCTCCTTTTTTTAAGGACAAACTCTTCAATTTTGAATATCAAATAAAATTATTACCAGATCATTATTTGATTATTACTGTTTTGATAACGGAATAAAAAAAACACTAATCCGTGCAAAATGATAATTCATTGTCCTAATAAAAAATGAGTCTAGCATTCCTTATTGAAATAATTTCCTGTTGAAGCCAAATTCCAAAATTTGCAGCTGTGATCATAAGGCCATTCCAACCTCTTATCTTTGTATTTTTTGGGTCCAGGTAATCTTGGATATCTAAAAGCTGTGTATCCAAAATTATTTATTGGTACATGCATCTTTTTTTAATCTGTAACTATCAAATCCTATTTATACAACCAAATGATTTTTTCAATCACCAAGCAGCCTCTTCTGGCTACTGCTAAATGTGGCACATTTGGTCAAGTCGTGTTCAGTCTCATTTGGTCTGCCAGGGTCTCTGATTCCTGTTGAGAGATTCTGAAAACTTGTCAATTTCTTGCATGTACATATATAAAATGCACCTCGTTTGAAAAAGAAAGCTCTTGTGATTTGGCTGCAAGAAAAAATTCAAATGGCTCATGAAGAAAGGGCAAACACTTATTTACTATTGACCTGTAAAGTTCTGAATAATCAAAACCATGCGAGCTTCTAGTATCAATATATTCAGTATTGTGCAGGAGATGGAGGGTGTCCATTCTATGTGTACAAGTGACATAATATATGCCAATAAATCTTATTTGGTCTGAATTTAACTCCTTAAAACTTGATAGGTGTGAGTGATGGTAAAGCTTGAAATAAGAAGAGATGTGTAGGCTGAACAAGCAAGTTGAAAATGACATCTGTTTCCCTGCAAACTGAATGTTTTGAAAAGTAATGTTAATGTGGATTCAGAAAGTTTTGTTTTCTGTCTGGTGTTAATATGCATCATGCTTTTGTTCATAGTTCAATATGTCTATTGTCTTTCGTATATTTTTTCAGACTGCAGATGGATTGGGACAAGTATGGTCCTGCTGCCATCCTTATATATAGATTTTAAAACAAACTTCAAATTTTGATTGAGTAGAGTGATTAGTGGATGATAACTGTCTCAAAAACTAAAAAAAAGTATTTAGCAAGCTGTGCGACGTGTCCATGGTCCACATAGACCAATATGTCATTAGTAAAGTTTTTCTATCATGTTATTACCTTGAGTGCTTGAATGAGATATATTACATTATCTCGCTGATGTTTCACATCAAAGCACAAAAAATGCCAATATTTGAGGAAAGGGGAATTGAAAATAAATCCAGTCTTAAATTTTTATTTTCCTTGTTTGTATGTGATTCAGGTTTTACAAATAAAGGAACACAAACTTCAAGGACGTGTAATAGACCCAAAGAGAGCAAACCCTAGGAGAGAAGTAATCAAGAAAATTTTCTGTGGAAAAGTGGATCCAGGTGTACCAGAAGCTGATATTAGGGAATACTTTGAAAAATATGGAAAGGTATGTGTTGTAATTCGCTGCAAGGCAAAAATATAGTATGAAATTTCCAACACACTTAGCTTTATTTAAAAAAATCCTTGAGTTTTTCCCCTAAGAGAAAGTGTGCAAGTATTAATTTAGTATTCACCAAGGAAATCTCAAAGATTGGAGAAATGTAAGACTTGTGTGAACAGAGTATACTCAAGTATGAAATTTTCCCACTGGCAAAATGTTGAAGGATAAAGTAGAATGTGTTTTTTTTTATCAGATTGAAAAATTGGACCTGCCTTTTGATAAAGTAAAGGATCAGAGGAGGGCATTCTGTTTCATTGAATTTGAGAAGGAAGAAACTGTGAAAAAAATCATAGATAGTTGTCCACACAAACTAAATGACCAAGAAGTAAGTACATTGTTCCTAATGGAAATATTTGTTTCATCAATGAGAACTGCAGATTGAATTGATTTCATTCATGTCTTTTTTTCTCGTTACAGGAAAGAATAAATTAAAGTGTTTGACTTTAAAGATTTATTTACGCTCTTTAATAGTTTGCACGGGAATGTAAAAAAAAACAGTCAAACCTGCTTCTGAGTTCAACATCTCTCAAAGAATTTTCTGTTGGGATAAGTTAAGCGGTAAGAATAGATCATGCTGGTAAAGGATGAATGATAATGTGAAGGTTAACATGTACCATGTGACTGACACTATCCTCCTTTTATTCCACTTTCCAGCAAGATGCCGGTAATGAGTGGATGCAAAGGAGCCGAAACAGTTGATTGAGGTCATGGGCTAGAGGTACCAAATGAACTAAATGAAAGTTCCCAACCACAGCATCTTATTTTCTTTAACAACCGTTGAATTATAAGCTAAAGAAAATAGGGTTGCGATTAAAATATTCAATATCATTCACGTCATGTAATTAATGTCTTTTTGTTTTGAAACTCTTCCAGCATAAAGGATCCTGATTCTTCACATCAACAGGTGCTTTATATTCATAACTGCCCTGGCTAACTGGACCTCCTTAAAGGCGTTTCTAGTTGTCCAATTTGCTCGCAGCCCTGTAAAGCATCTTGATAGTTTTTAATGTAATTTTTTTTTGAAGAAGCAAATGTATATTTTGTTGTCTTTAATATACTTATTTATTCCTTTAAGATTGATGTGAAGAAAGCCACACCCACCAACCAGAACAAACGAGGCCGAGGAGGATTTGCTGCCTGGGGAGGCGGATGGGGCGGTGGTCGCGGTGGTGGAGCACGTGGGGGTCGAGGTAAGAACATAATTGAATTTGCTTTTAGAAAAATACCAATGGCTATAGCAGACTTTGTCCCCTTTTATACATTCCCTTAAGTAATAATCCCAAGATATTTGTTTATATTGTTTAAGTAATTGTTTGGGAAATCTCCTCCACTACCATAGGTAATAAATACACAATACATCTTTGTTGGATACATGGAGTACTTGTGTATGGAAATTCTTTGTCAGGATATTTATCATTTCAAACAACCACCGAATTTCCCATGTAGTGACAACTATAATATTTCTGTTTAAATTTTTAGGTGGTGGCTGGGGAGGCCAAGGATATAACAATAACTATTACAACAACTATAACCAAGGATATGGAAGTTATGGTGGATATGGAGGATATGGTGGTTATGACAACAGCTACTATCAAGGATATGGTAGTGGATGGGGTGGATACGATCAGGGCTACTATGGGAGCTATAGTAAGTCTTGACAATTTTGATCAGTTCTGCCAATGTAATCAAATTAAATGAATATTTCTAGTCTTTTTTCATGATTAGTGTAATTTTTTAAGTTTTGATCTTCAATACTTGACTGAACAATTCTTTGAAATTAATGTGCATGATATTACAGGGAATTGCAGATGTGATGACCATTAAACTGTGTTTGTTGTTATGTGCATGGTCTTGTGTTTTCATTTTTAATAGATTTTTACATTTGAGAAAATTAAACTGCTGCTGTATTTGTGATAGATGAAGTAGTTTTACTTAAACACCAAGTTTATTTGGTGTATAGCTTGTTATTAAGAACACCATTTACTTCCATTCCTTTCTACATACTGTGAAATTTGCCGATTAGTCTAAAGGTATTCAAGAATAATCATATTTATTACAAATGGGAATATTTTGATAAAAAGTACTTGTCAGTATGCTAGTTTGTCTCATCTCTAAGAGGATATAGCTAGACCAAAGTATGCTAGAATAACTACAATTCAATATTTTAATTCACAGTACCTGTAAAATTGATGGCTACATTAAGATACCTCAGAGGAAAATGCATATGAATACTGGTTATATAAATGACAAGGGTAATCTTTTTTGGATCTTGTAATCCAATACATGGGACATTATATAAGGTAGTTGCACAAAACAAGGAAGTAATACTTGCTACTACTGAAAGAGGAAATTTTGGAAGAATAGATGTAAAAAAGCTGAAAAAATTGGGTAGCCATTGTAAGTAACAAGACTACCTTGATCTTTTATAGGTGATTATAATGGAGGATGGGGCTATGACCAAGGTGAGTTGCAATATTAGGTGTAAATTAGTTCTCTAGTCTTTACCAGAATCATGTAGACATCATGCTATTTATGAAAAAATACCATGGTATTTATGGTTTCATTGAGTAAAATGAAGATAAAGTTTTGACATTTACAGATTTTATAATGAAGCAATTTAGAATGGCACAAAGGAAAAAAAAATCATGAATATTGTAAAATTTAGTGTGTAACAGGAGGTAAAGATTAAGGAGAATACAAAAAACAAACACAAGGTAGCAGTAAGAAAACTTTCCCCGTCATCAGACATGAAGATTGATGGTGCACTCTCAAATCATCGACCTGAAAAGATTGATTACGATCTGATCAGACATAATTGTTTTGCATGAAGCATTTAATTCCTTTGATGATGCATTTGTAGCATCAAGGACTTCACGCTCAGTCAGGTAACTGCTGTTACAGTTTTGCTTGCAGTTTTGTTTCCTGTTCATAAACTTGAACCATTGTATAAAAATAAAACAGCTTTCAAGTTTCGGAATTCTACATGTATGGATTTGAACTATCCATAAATGAAAGCTGTGTCTTGGTATTATGTAATGGTTCAAAATCAGCAATATTGAATAACATTTCATTTCTGGTCACTTTACATTGACAGCTTGCTTTATTTGGAATGATATATTTTTACTGCCATTGAAAGAATAGCTTGAACACCACCATGTATATATAAAATGCCTGGTGTGAAAAAGTTCTGTGACCAGAAATCAAGTGTTTCTCATTTTGTGACAATTTTTGTAGTTCGTTGATAATGTGCACTGCAAGTTTGCAAGAATTGACCTCTTGGATAATGCAATTATTTTGGATGTCAAATATAAAGTATTTGAAAAACATTTGTATTTGAACCTGACATTTCATTAAAATCAACATCTTACATGATATTTCTCACTATGTAATAATTGTTTTGAATAACTGTATAACCTTGCAGAGTGCATTTGATCATGAAATCACCTTTCCACAGGTACAGATCTTTCTGGTCACTATCTAGCTCAAGGTCTGTCAAGGCAACTCTGCAAGGTTTCTGAGTAGGTTGGGGTGATAGTGGATCCTAATGACAAGAGGTCAGTTGTGCTAACCTTTGTAGTGTGTAGTAGTAATCAATGTAAATAGAAACATAGCAATAAAACCATCCGATGGATAAAATCAATCAATTTCTATCCGTATTCACAGGGAATCAGCAACAGAGCACCTATGGCAAATCACAAAAAGGAGGCCGAGGGGCTGGTGGTGGGTACCACCCATACAGCCGATAAACAGGTAGGCGTGATTTATGGATTGTCATATCCATCTTGGTATACTTGCAGAGTGGGGTTAGTTTCACAATATAGACCTTGTTTATGTGATTAGGAAGTCTACCTGTGGTAAGGTGATGGTTAATGCTTGCTGATGGTTCATTATTATGAACTTGCAAGGTTGTATCGATTTGAATTTTATTACTTGAATGCAGCCAGCTGCAGCAAGCTGGAAAGTACTTGACAATTGGTTGCATCGATTAACTTTATTTCAATAGATAGGAAAGGTATAAAACATTTTTTTAGTTATGTCTATCTCCATTTGGCCAGAACTATATTTCATTGATTAGTAGATAGTTTTCTTTGCAGGAGCTTTTTAATCTGCATTTTTTTATTGGCTTGCTTTCCTCCTCCTCTATGCCTAATGACATGCAAACAGTTTAATATATACTTGACCTTGTGAACTAGCAATTTCTTCTTTTTTCCCTAACCAGAGTGAAGAAAGTGTCGGTTGCCAACAACCATTGAATCATGTTTCATTGCCTCATTTATCATCACATGCTGGACACTGTGTTACATCATTCCAAAGTGGATACAACAGTGACATTGAATAAACTATTGACTCTACAACCAGATTCATTCATTCTCATCTTTGATTTTATTGTCTGATCGTTGTCTTGTAAAAAAAAAAAAAAAAATAAAACTGACTTTTTTTTATTCATTTGTTCATTTTCATTTGTTCACCATCAGCAGGAAGGAATTGGAAATGAGAAGTATGACTTCAGATGCTGAAACTGTACAAATATACACATTTGATTCAGTTGCTTTTGATTTGTTGCCAGTAGAAGCAACATGCATAGCAAAAAATGTCAAATGATTTGAAGTGAGTTATTCTGTTAAAAAACAATCGTATAACTAGATCATCGAATACAAGAATTTCTTCCTCATTACAGTGAAAGAAAAGACCTTTGCGAAACCTTGGAGGTGGGATGAGTAAAGATGAAAAAGTTCACAAACGATCCTCTTTTTACCAAAGAATGTTGAGAGGAGATGTGTAGAATAGCATGAAGGATTTTAAACTAAATTTTGGTTTGCCAGGGAAATATGTCGCTCTACATGGGTTTTTTGTGTAATGGTCTGTTCATGCCTGGTGGCAATGCAGGCCATGGGAGAGTCTCCATCACTTATTGAAGAGTCTTGGACTAGGTTGAAATGCCAAACAAATAAAAATCGCAGTACTTCCGCTCATTTACAGTAACATCAGGGTCATGAAACAGTAAAATCACAACTGCCTTCATCAGACCAGTGGACTCTTTGCCAAGAATAAGTATTCCATTTCTAGAGCCTAACAGTCTTGCAGGCAGTGTGTGTCTTCCAGATGACATTTTAGAGGGCCAGAAAGTCGCTTTTTGTTCAAAAGTCTATAGATGGATGTGGACACATGAACCATTCAAAATGCTCATCCAGCATTGGTCAATTGTTTTGTAGAGAACAAGGTAGGTTAATAGGTGTATTGCTAAGTGGCATATGGTACCGAACTCTAAAGGAGATGCTGCATGAAGTACAAGGTTTATTTTTACGAAAATTAATTTTTGATAAATATTTTCATATCGATATTGATCCCTCACTTCTGGCCGATTAGATATCGGGAATACTTTGTAAATCTAAATACCCTGTCAAATTTTTTCACAAGACAAAGCATATAAATTAGGCTGCAATACCAATCAATTTCTATTCAATCTGACATCTTGTACAAATTGTGTACATTGTACAAGAAAGTTACCAGTGTGAATTTATGGGTAAACCAATGTCATGGATATGATATTGTTTGCTGAATTTAATCCATGTGGATAACTTTTCATGTGTATGAGTTATAACAATGAAATTTGGTTTTTATGCTTAATATAATTCCTTTAAATTCAGTAAAGTATTAATTTATCTGATAAAATGTTAAAAATAAATGTGATGAAAGGTAAAAGTTGGGTCAATCGTGAAAATGTAACAGACTTATAAATATAATTGTCAGTGGACTTAATTCTTCATTTTAAGTTAATCCAAATGTCAATATGTAGGTCACTAAATATTAGTCTAATTTTCAAACAAAATTGATAATTCCATACTTTGTTGTTAGTGTTAAAGTTATGCTTGTATACTGACTCATAGGACAAATAAAGTCAGTGTAAGGTTTTAATTTTTCAAACATTAGTTTAGAAACCTTCACACAAGCTGAAAATATAACTATGACTCAGAATTTGAAAAGAACGATCAAAATGCATTCTTGAATGCAATATTAATCAAAATCAATCATGGGAAGCTTCATCAAAACTGACCAAGTAAAAGTATTAACTATGCATGACAATTGAAGGACCCAAAACAGTAACTTGTGAGTCTCTGGCTCAGGTCAAAATGTTTTAATATTTCAAAGTCAAGGCCATCAAATGAAACAAATTCGTGTTGAAATCATTTTATTTTTATCCTGCATGAAAAACATTCAAAAGGCAATGCTAATGTTGAAAGGCTACCACAATACACATATCCTACAACACAACAAAATTTTAAAGCAAGACATGTACTTTTCCTGGAACACAACCGAATTTAACAGCAATATCCTAACAATTATGTCATAACGAGGATTATTCTGCTTAAAAAATAAAACACAAACTGATATGTGAACAAATTTTAAAAGGTTTTAAATTCCTGTTGTAAACTTATCTGAATCACTCAATTTCTAGTAGAAAAGAAAAACAGACGGTTTTTACTTATCTGAATCACTCAATTTCTACTAGAAAAGAAAAACAGACGGTTTTTACTTATCTGAATCACTCAATTTCTACTAGAAAAGAAAAACAGACGGTTTTTACTTATCTGAATCACTCAATTTCTAGTAGAAAAGAAAAACATACAGAAAGAAAACTGCATTTACTTGCAAAGAGTTTCTATGAAGAGCGATACAATTGAAAATTGATTCATATTTATTTTAGGACTGCATTTCTGGCCCAGTAAAACTTTTAAAACTGTTCCACACAGTGCCTTTTTGATGTCTATTTGAAGGATATTTGTTACAAATATTGCATCGAGAAAAATACAGATGTCAGTAAATGTATATTGAAGTCAAACACTTTTTTAAGGATTTGTCTATGTTCTTCAATTTCAATAAATTGATTAACAAACCCAATACAATGTTCTACAATAGGTAGTTGTTTATATGATACATACTGTGCCATTGTCTTAAAACTGAAACTAAGCGAAAAACAAAATGTTCCTTGTTGGTTGATAACTACATGTACTCTTAAAAAATCATGTTAAAGAGCATATAACACAGCTTTCCTATAATACAATACATTTTTTTTCACAGACAACAGAATCAACAGCAGGACAAATTCACAAGCAACATTTTCCACATTTGACAGAAATATGAATATGACTTTCTGGTTAAAAACCATGCTATCAAATTGATAGGACTATGATCCTGCTGTCTGCATTATATGTACTTTATTTTGTAATGCCTATCAGAATATCAGAACACATCTAGATTGTTGTCTACTTGTTTATTCAATGAACTGGTTTTAACTTTCACTATTGTGTCCATTCTAAGTAAAGCTCTACACTTTGCCAGACAAATCCCTATGAATGGATGTCAGTGACATTACCTATCAAATTATGATATACTTAGGCTTTATAACTGGTATTTGGTAACAAGATAGAGATGCTGTCTCTTGTAAATGAGGTGTAGTTTGTATTGGCTAAAGAACTTTCTGGGACTAGGAACTGCTTTTTAATAGCATTAAATAAAAGTTAAAAAACTAGCTAATCTTCCTGGAATTCTAGGGATTCTGCAGACAGCCTTCTTAGTGTATAACACACAAAGAATTTTTGAATGATTGTATGCACTGCCAAGCTCTACATTCAAAGTTTTGAGCCTACATGGATCTACTTATTTCAACTCTTACAGCTCTGATGAGAGCCAAGTTGTGGTAATATCTGCATAAAAGGATCATTATTTGGCCTTTTGTACTGCTTGTCTCTACTGTGAATAAGTAAAAAATCTCTACATCCCAGGTTCCCAGCCTTTGTAGACCTGAGCAAGAATAGGATCCTCATTTGGCCTGATGTATTGCCAAGCTGTACATCCAAGGTTCCCAGCCTTTGTAGACCTGAGCGAGAATAGGATCCTCATTTGGCCTGATGTATTGCCAAGCTGTACATCCAAGGTTCCCAGCCTTTGAAGACCTGACAAAGAATATTAGGATCCTCATTTGGCCTGATGTATTGCCAAGCTGTACATCCAAGGTTCCCAGCCTTTGTAGACCTGGCAAAGAATATCAGGATCTTCATTGTGCTTTATGTATTGCCATGCTCTACATCCAAGGTTCCCAGCCAGCATATACCCGTCCAAGAATATTAGGATCTGTGGCTTGGTCTATGAGAGCAGCTACCTGATCCTCTACACTGAGGCTGTGTTGAGGAAGCTCTGCCCTCCGATTTCCTTTTTCTCCCATCACAACACTCTCAAAATTCTGTAGGGCATCATTCTTAGAATGACCAAGTTTTAGTTCATCCCTGTAAGAGGAAACAGATTGAATTGACATAATGAAGTGATTGACTGAAGGTCTATAACACTGTCGAAGATGATCTGTAAGTGATTGACTGAAGGTCTATAACACTGTCGAAGATGATCTGTAAGTGATTGACTGAAGGTCTATAACACTGTCGAAGATGATCTGAAGGTCTATAACACTGTCGAAGATGATCTTCAGTTAGCCATTTTGTTTTCTTGAGCAGAACAAGTAGTAACTATGGAACAAGTAAATGTCAAATATGAAAACATCCCTTTAGAACTTCTGAAAAGGTAGTCATAACAAGGTTTATGTTCTAATGATGTATGACAGGTCATGGATGAAGGGCAATCTTAATAGCCCAACATCTGATGATCATGGTATGGTAGAATCTAGGGTGGCCTATTACCAGGTATGCATTTATTGTCTGATAAATAAAAAAAAAACCTTAGGTTTGATGGGCAAACAAGAATTTAATATGTGTTGAATCTTCTAAAGAGGGTTACCATACAAAGTTTTATCACTGTACCATGACATGACAAAAGTATGAAGCAGACACCGATGTGTTTTGAACAGGAGCACACTTGAGACAAATATTGGATCCCGAAAAAAACTGTTAAGTTTGAGAACTTGATCTTTGGAGGACAAATAAGAATGTGGTGTGTGACACATCTTCTAATAAAACAACCAAACAATGTGTCATCCCTCTACTATGACTCGTAAAAAAGTTATGAAGTAGACACAAATTGAGTTATGGACAGATGTACATACACTCACAAATATAGGGGTCCAATGAACAAGAAGCCAATGGGGTCTGTAACAGTTAGTGATAACAAAGGGAAGTAACGGTAAGTGATAACCACGGGAAGTAACTGTTAGTGATAACCAGGGGAAGTAACTGTTAGTGATAACCAGGGGAAGTAACTGTTAGTAATGACCTAGGGAAATAACTGTTAGTGATGACCGGGGGAAATAACTGTTAGTGATAACCTAGGGAAATAACTGTTAGTGATGACCGGGGAAAATAACTGTTAGTGATAACCTAGGGAAATAACTGTTAGTGATGACCAGGGGAAATAACTGTTAGTGATAACCTAGGGAAATAACTGTTAGTGATGACCAGAGGAAGTAACTGTAAGTGATGACCTAGGGAATTAACTGATAGTGATGACCAGGGGAAATAACTGTTGGTGAAAACAAGGGGAAGTAACTGTTAGTGATGACCTAGGGAAATAACTATTAGTGATGACCAGGGGAAATAACTGTTAGTGATGACCGGGGGAAATAACTGTTAGTGATAACCTAGGGAAATAACTATTAGTGATGACCAGAGGAAGTAACTGTTAATGATAACCTAGGGAAATAAATGTCAGTGATAACCTAGGGAAATAACTGTAAGTGAAAACAAGGGGAAGTAACTGTTAGTGATAACCTAGGGAAATAACGATTAGTGATGACCAAAGGAAATAACTGTTATTGATGACCAGGGGAAATAACTGTTAGTGATAACCTAGGGAAATAACTGTTAGTGATGACCAGGGGAAGTAACTGTAAGTGAAAAAAGGGGAAATAACTGTTAGTGATCAACTAGGGAAATAACTGTAAGTGAAAACAAGGGGAAGTAACTGTAAGTGATGACCGGGGGAAATAACTGTTAACTTATGTATACATCAAGTTTCATTACTCTAGTTTTAAACAAAGGGCAATTACTCTGTAAAATTGGGGTTGCTGGCCCTTAATCTTGTATACTGGACATTGTCATAGTGTGACCAATGCATACATCAAGTTTCATGATCCTTTCTCAAATGTTGTTAAGATCCTTTCTTAAATGTTGGCAAAGTTATGCATTAGACAACAAAGGATGGATGGACAGACTGACCAAGCAGCAACTAGATGCTACCCTAAAAAATTTTTCAGAGAGCGCAAAAACCTCTCAACTAAGAATGGACCAATGTGTGATCTCCAATCATCAAATTCATAAATTACCAAACAATAACACGAAGTAGTAAGTGTAAAAACATGCCACTCAGGTGACTGTTATATAATAAATGACCATTCTGACATGTGTACAAGGTGTATTAATCACATCTAATATTATCTGGTATAACTTGTAACCAAAGCAATGCTACAGTAGGATGACTTCTAACAGGAAACACATCCTGCCTTTAATAAACAAGAGGCCCATGGGCCTTAACGGTCATCTGACAAAAAGCAAGCTAAACCTAGAAAGTGGGTTGAGGTCATTCATTTGAACAAACTTGGTAGCCTCTCCTTCAAGCATCTTACAGGCCCAATATCAGCACTCATGGACTTTTGCTTGTTGAGAAAAAGTCGTTTGTATATTTTAACATATTTGACCCCTGTGACCTTGAAAGTGGGTCGAGGTCATTCATTTGAATGAACTTGGTAGCCTTTCCTCCCAGCATGCTACAGACCCAATATCGGCACTCATAGACTTTTGCTTATTGAGATGAAGTCCTTTGTATATTTTAACATATTTGACCCCTGTGACCTTGAAAGTGGGCCAAGGTCATTCATTTGAACAAACTTTGTAGGGCTCCATGCCAGCATGCTATGGGCCAAGTATTAGCCCCCTAGACCTTCTAGTATTTGAGAAGTTGTTTGAATGAAAAGTTTACGCACGGCGGACGGCGCACGGCAGACGGCGCACGGCGGACGACGACGGACGAAGCACGATGGCTATAGGTCATCTTGACCCTTTGGGTATGTATTTACTCAACAACTTAATACATTGAAAGCATAGCATTTCTGTCCTCCTATCACACCATTTGCATCCTCCTATGTGTACCATACCACTTGAGAAGTATTTCTGTCATGTTACTGTAGTGTTCCTGTGGTAAACATACCATTTGAGTAGTATTTCTGTCATGTAACTGTAGTGTTCCTGTATGTACCATACCATTTGAGTAGTATTTCTGTAATGTTACTGTAGCGTTCCTGTATGTACCATACCATTTGAGTAGTATTTCTGTCATGTTACTGTTCCTGTATGTACCATACCATTTGAGTAGTATTTCTGTAATGTAACTGTAGTGTTCCTGTATGTACCATACCATTTGAGTAGTATTTCTGTAATGTTACTGTTCCTGTATGTACCATACCATTTGAGTAGTATTTCTGTAATGTTACTGTAGTGTTCCTGTATGTACCATACCATTTGAGTAGTATTTCTGTAATGTTACTGTAGCGTTCCTGTATGTACCATACCATTTGAGTAGTATTTCTGTAATGTTACTGTTCCTGTATGTACCATACCATTTGAGTAGTATTTCTGTAATGTTACTGTAGTGTTCCTGTATGTACCATACCATTTGAGTAGTATTTCTGTAATGTTACTGTAGTGTTCCTGTATGTACCATACCATTTGAGTAGTATTTCTGTCATGTTACTGTAGTGTTCCTGTATGTACCATACCATTTGAGTAGTATTTCTGTCATGTTACTGTAGTGTTCCTGTATGTACCATACCATTTGAGTAGTATTTCTGTCATGTTACTGTAGTGTTCCTGTGGTAAACATACCATTTGAGTAGTATTTCTGTCATGTAACTGTAGAGTTCCTGTATGTACCATACCATCTGAGTAGTATTTCTGTAATGTTACTGTAGCGTTCCTGTATGTACCATACCATTTGAGTAGTATTTCTGTAATGTTACTGTTCCTGTATGTACCATACCATTTGAGTAGTATTTCTGTAATGTTACTGTAGTGTTCCTGTATGTACCATACCATTTGAGTAGTATTTCTGTAATGTTACTGTAGTGTTCCTGTACGTACCATACCATTTGAGTAGTATTTCTGTCATGTTACTGTAGTGTTCCTGTATGTACCATACCATTTGAGTAGTATTTCTGTAATGTTACTGTAGTGTTCCTGTATGTACCATACCATTTGAGTAGTATTTCTGTAATGTTACTGTTCCTGTATGTACCATACCATTTGAGTAGTATTTCTGTAATGTTACTGTTCCTGTATGTACCATACCATTTGAGTAGTATTTCTGTAATGTTACTGTTCCTGTATGTACCATACCATTTGAGTAGTATTTCTGTAATGTTACTGTTCCTGTATGTACCATACCATTTGAGTAGTATTTCTGTAATGTTACTGGTCCTGTATGTACCATACCATTTGAGTAGTATTTCTGTAATGTTACTGTTCCTGTGTGTACCATACCATTTCTGTAGTATTTCTGTCAGTAGTGTAGTGTTTTGTGAAGTATGTACAGATCTGTAAGTGATAAAAAGTTGAGTAGCTGATAAGCATCACAAGGAAATAACAGTGACCTACCAGAAGTCATTTTATTATTTTAACAGTAAACAAGCAGTTCTTTGTAAGAGCCTTTCTTTACCTTGTTATGTAACTAGGATTTTCACCCTTGAGTTTCCTCTTAACATATCGAACTTTCTCCTTGGGATACCAGGAAATACTCTCCTCATCAAGGGATTCTGCAAAAAAAACTCTGTTGTTTGTAAAAAGTCCACGCTTTATATAATATAACAATTAATGATGTAATTATTTCCCTATTGGGTCCCGGCCTTGTGGCCAAACAAAAGTCATATTCACTATTCATAAAAACTGCTTCAGACCAAACTTGCACAATTCCTTGTACAGAAGGCTTTTTTAATAACTCACATTTCCCAATTTAGCCCCACACCTCCCATCCCAAGGGGCCACAATCTACTGTTTTATATAGAACTGATTTCTCTTCACCAAAGAATACTTAAGACTAAATTTGGGCACAATCAGATCATTTCTACAGAAAGAATAGGATTTTAAAGAACTTGCAAACTTTCTCCATTTGAGTCCTGCCCCTAAGGCCCCGAGGGGTCAAGAACAAATATATATAACAAACTTGATTCCCTTTCCCCAAAGGATGCATTTGGACAAAATACCTTTATTCATTCATGACTAGAAGCAATTTTTAGTAAAAAGTTGATGGGCATGGGATGCTGGACAGACAACAGATGCCATGCCATGAGCTCACTGGTACTTCTGATGAGGTGTGCTAAAACAAGACATCGTTGCTGCAGGAACTTATCAGTAACATAAAAACATTTTGACACCAAAAATACAGTTTACCCCACTTTTGATCTATGGAGGTTGTGAGTCAGTACATGTTGTTCAGGACATTCATATGATTTTTACATGGACAGCAGGATTTATTTATTTATTAAACAGGTTTTACCTATACTACCACAGCCTTACAGCCTTTTTTCAGTGGGCTATTGGCAAGCAGGAACGTAACAAATCTACTTATATTGACAATAACCTCAATTTTCACCACATAAGTTTGAGACATGAACTTGTATATGAGATGATGGCAATGAATATATGTATGATGTTTCAAGACAATCAGATGGATTAATCAAGCCAGATGGCAAGGATGTAAAGTATCAACTTATAGAAAGTGACCTCAAGTTTAAATCTAGGGTCAAGACACCACTTTGTACAAGTGAGGATGGCTGTAAGTTAGTTACGAAGTTTCAGAAGAATGAGATAATTCATTATATGTAATGATATAGGTGTATGAAGGTATAGATTGATTGATACATCATTAACTTGAATGGTAGTGTCTGCCTGGTGGGGTTTATCATAAGATGATGGGGAGGAATGGCTGTATATATGTTACCTAGTAAACTTGGTGACCCTTCTTGCAGAACAGGTCACCCTTCAGTTGTCTCAGATCACACAGGCCCCTTTGTGTGGAGGGCACAAGGACTCGGTGTACCATGGTCACTAACTGTTGTACCTCTCCTTTAATGTCAGGGGTTTCGGGACCATGCAGTACTACACTTTTGTAAACACTTCCAACAGCAAGCTATGTTGAAATTTTATAACTAGCCCACCATTTATTTTTTAAAGTTTAACATGCTCAATTATTTGATGTAGACTTAGTTTGAGACCTTAGTCATAACTATTGGTCTTCTTCAGTGCATGGAAAGGGAACGCCAGAAAATCAAGTTTAAAATCACCTAAAATTTTAGTTTAGTACCATTAAAAGTAACAGGCATATTAAATGTTGGGCATACTGATGCTCTTTCATGCCTATGGTAATAATGTTAAACACCTATATATATACCATTAAACAATGTCAGCCTGCTGTATAGGTGTTTAATTTCGTGGGGCTGCAAATGTTCCTGGTTGGGCTATTTCGTAAGTATTAAATTTCGTCAAAGTCTATACATTGTTACCAAACAGGGATGACAACATACGTCTTACAAGATTTTAATTCACTGTAAAAATGCTTGGTATTTATTTTTAAGTTTAATTTAAAAATCTAAAATTTAAATACCCTGTAAGTATAACCAATTATAGTTTTGTCCTTGACAAAGGACTCAAAGATGTGGACAGATCGCAGGGTAGTCATCACACCTGTGTGGTTTATCACAAGGAGAAATACATCCCTATTTCAGTTGTTAAACTTTGTTTATCCACATTAAGTGACCCTCTTTTCCTCATCGGGAGGTTCTAAATCAAAACCAACTTTTTTCATAAATTTAGGGATCAAAATACTGGAAATCAATAAGTAAGACTCTGATTTTATTATTAATTTGGCTATGTAAATGTACTGTTAATAAATTGCTGTATTGTAAATGAAATGCAGATTTTTCCACTCTGTGTGACCATGATTTGCCTAGTGTGGATACTTTACCTTCTAAATTTAAACTCTGCATCTGTTTTTCAGCATTAACCTGCAAAAGATTACATACAAATACATGTATAAAAAACAGAGCTCATCTTTTAACATGAAGTCAACAAGAATGGTGATCTCAATGTGAGAAGGCCGAAGTTTTCAAACATGTGGCATGTCGACGGATATATAACCTATCACAGACGACTTTATCACAGTTACCAGTAATCAAAGCAACGACTGATATAATGTGTGTTGTACCTTTCCTGTCCATTTAAAAATTTAAAAGGGAGCAAAAAAGCACTGGTATAAGCATCCATACAGGCATATATGTACCGTGTACTTTACAATAAGTTAATATTTTGATGCAGTTTCTTTGTTTTTCATTGTTGATGTTTATCATTTGTAAAGGTAAGCTGAAAGAATTTCAAACTGTATAATGGTAAAAGCTTGTAATCAATGTGTTTTTTATATCTAATATTGTTACCATGATAACTGGGAGAACATTAAAAAAAGAAGTCTTGCAAACAGCTAAAGGTTTAACAAGAAACCAGTGGGTACAAATGGTCACCTTATGATTATCAACACTGAACTTAACTATAAAGGGCTATATCTGTAAGTTACAATCAAATCAGTCCCCTGGTCAAATGGAGATCTTACTGATATAAGGCTGCATATAAATTTCATTGAAGTATATTCATATTTACATAAATCGTTGCATCCACAGCAAAAAGTTAATGCACAATGGATGATGGAAGATGACAATAATTTTTATCAGTTGAACAGTTTTCAAGTTGAAGCCTAGAAAAGGTACTTGGGACAGGTAAATGTAGCTTAATCTAATATAACCTGCAACCACTTATCATGGGTTATAACATGGGGCTAATACACCTGAACAGCTCCTATAAATAATAATAAAGTACTGTTATGTTAAGGCTGAGAATTACATGATGTACTTTGACTTAGGATTTTGGAAGAGGTAGTTTCTGAAGTTACTAAGTATAAATATGGTATTGCCTTATTGGGAATAAACCTGTGATGATATCTGATGTCCTCACCAGCCAATCAACAGATGGCTCTTTCACAAATATGTCCATGGTTGCAAGAAGTAGGTCATAGTCTTCACGCAGGGCACGCAGAGCATGAACCATAGTGCTCTCCATCAAGCCCTTCACCTGTAGGGGTAGCATCAGGTTACGGAGTTGTCTAGTCAGACGGAAAGGCATCAGCTCTGGGATCGGTAAGAACTGTGGAAACAAGAACAAGATATCACAGGATTTCTGAAATCTTTGTTACAACATATCAACATGCTACTCGTCAAGCATCATCACCATAATCCTCTCCATTATCAATTACACAGATAAGGGCATATGGAATTTACTAAACAAGTTTAATAAATTGATATGTTGTGAGCCTTTCATATTCTAAAAAATAAATGAAAACTCCCCAATCAACTTCCCTATAAGATAGACTAATTTCACTAATAAGACAATCAAGAGACGTTGTCAATACATGACTTATCTATGATGTCACAATAGTGTTACTACATGTCTTTTGAGATTTATGACATGTCTTTGATATGATACAACATGGCAGTTATGTGATAGATCAGGTTAAGTTGCTGATAACTGTACCTTGACCGGGAGACAAACTGGAATGTAAAGTTTCCCTGAGAGTGATCATTGTTTTATGCACAGAGTGTTAGGATCCCTGTAACTGTTCATTATGCTGACAGATATTTCAGTCAGTCAGAAATACTTACCAAACAATGAACACCTGTGAACAGACATGATGTTAATATAAATTTAGATAAATATTAAAACACAGATATCAATTGGTTTAGATGATTACCTGAGTTGCTGATCCAAATGCATGTCCAAAATCAATGCCAATCATCTGCCCTGTTTTGAGATTGATCATGAAGTTGGAGAGATGGCGATCACCAATACCTAGAATATATTGACATATGGACACGAGGGCATGGGAAACAGCCAGAGTACAACGCAGCACATGGAATGCCTCAGGACATGTACTGATGTCATGGAAGGCCCGTCTACAAGTACAGAAATGGAATTGGTTTATTTTGACCTGTTTTCCAAATCCATACAGAATTATAAGAGAAAATTTTTTATCTTAAATAATATGTTAAAATTGATAAGTAGATACCTAGATATCTATTAGTTATACATGACAACAAGTTCCTATACCAGTATCATGTGACAGTAAAAATTGTGATGAAAATTGTGAGGATTTTCTATTGGTATGCTTTATTACCTTCATTTCAACTGTTTCCCCAGTCCAAAAAAACATGAAATGAGGGGAAAAACAAAATAATTAAGAGAGAATGAAAGAGTGAAGTTAATATTTAACATAATAAATTAAATTGTTAATTGAAGATTTGCACAAAATAAAAAGTCCACCTGAATACTATTGCCAGTGCTTTACCAGGGATGTCAGTGTATTGTAAACAGTATATCTGGACCAGGGATGTCAGTGTATTTTAAACAGTATATCTGGACCAGGGATGTCGGTGTATTGTAAATAGTATATCTGAACCAGGGCTGTCAGTGTACTTTAAACAGTATATCTGAACCAGGGATGTCAGTGTATTGTAAACAGTATATCTGAACCAGGGCTGTCAGTGTACTTTAAACAGTATATCTGAACCAGGGATGTCAGTGTATTTTAAATAGTATATCTGAACCAGGGCTGTCAGTGTATTGTAAATAGTATATGTGAACCAGAGATGTCAGTGTATTTTAAACAGTATATCTGAACCAGGGATGTCAGTGTATTGTAAATAGTATATGTGAACCAGAGATGTTGGTGTATTGTAAATAGTATATCTGAACTAGGGCTGTCAGTGTATTGTAAATAGTATATGTGAACCAGAGATGTTGGTGTATTGTAAATAGTATATCTGAACTAGGGCTGTCAGTGTATTGTAAATAGTATATGTGAACCAGAGATGTTGGTGTATTGTAAATAGTATATCTGAACTAGGGCTGTCAGTGTATTGTAATCAGTATATCTGAACCAGAGATGTTGGTGTATTGTAAATAGTATATCTGAACTAGGGCTGTCAGTGTATTGTAAATAGTATATGTGAACCAGAGATGTTGGTGTATTGTAAATAGTATATCTGAACTAGGGCTGTCAGTGTATTGTAAATAGTATATGTGAACCAGAGATGTTGGTGTATTGTAAATAGTATATCTGAACTAGGGATGTCAGTGTATTGTAATGTGAACCAGAGATGTTGGTCTATTGTAAATAGTATATCTGAACTAGGGCTGTCAGTGTATTGTAAATAGTATATGTGAACCAGAGATGTTGGTCTATTGTAAATAGTATATCTGAACTAGGGCTGTCAGTGTATTGTAATCAGTATATCTGAACCAGAGATGTTGGTGTATTGTAAATAACATTTTCATTTCAGTCATAATTAACTTAAGTATGCAAATACAGTACCTACACCCATCTTTGTATCCCAACAACAAAAGATTAAAAAAATCCTACCATCCCTACGATCCATCAGCCATCACAGCAGGAACATAGAGTGATCTCCCTTCCTCTTACCTTTATGGCTGCCGTCAAGTGTGGAGATGTCTGAAGCTGAGTGCTTTCTTTATCCTTCTCTTCGTACTTCTATTATTGTCTGAGTATATTGCTACTCCTTAAGTAGTTTGTTAAACCATCTCCCAACTTATTTTGGAAATTATAAGTCTTGGCATATGTTTATTTCAGCCATTTTTATGACCGTGTTTTCCTCCATGTGTTCGAGTGCATAACCACATGTTTTGCTTTCCGGATTTTCGTGAAGTTGTAATTTGTTTTTTTGCTGCTTTATTGGCTGTTTTGTGTGACCGGTTTCTTATTGCAGTCTTACTGCGTAATGTTAGTCTTGAGCTTTTGTTCGTAGTTTTTTGTTTGTTAGAAAACTTCAGCACATGGGTGTTCCCATTTCTTCTGAGAACGGGACCCCCATTATGCCTGTCCCCTTTGCCGGCCTTGCAGCTAGACTTCCCTGGGCGAACTTTGTTTGCACATGGAGTCTACTGCCAAGGCTTCCATGCCTGTCTGCGAACTTTCCCCCAGAAGAGGGATTCATCCTCTTCTTCTGGTAGGATAAGTAACTTTGTAAGTCTTCCACCTCCGGTTCTGAACCTGTGACTGTTTCAGGAGTTCCAGCCAGGATGCTCTCGTCCTGTTGAGCTCCGCCCTCGAGCAGGGGGTGGTCCCCCCGTCCAGGTGCGCCCTGGAGTAGGGGGCGGGACAGCCTGACCCTGACTCGGTGCAGTCCAGTCTAATTGGCAGGAAGCTCCCGTTTGCAGACAGTTTTACTTTCGGGTAGAGACTTCGGCCACAGGTCGCTGATTCGTTCAGTGATCCTGGCCCACCAAGTGGTGTTGTTGGTGGGGGCCATCTTGACTCCAGACCTGTACTTTCTAGTGCAGGTTCCGGGGCCACAGAATTCTTGTCAGGGTTGTCTGTGGCTACGGGGATTAGTGACGTGCAGTTCACTAATTCTTACTAATACTAATTCTTGGGCCTGGGTGCCAACAGTATCCAAGCAGTTACAGGTCTAGCCCATACATGTCTGGGTGTCAACCTGGTGGGAGTGGTGGTTCATCCTTGTCTTTCGGACAGGGTGGCCAGCCCCAGACTCAGGTGGGCCATTTTGGCCATCTCTGGGGTCACTCCCAGCCCACAGGACCATTCCCATTCCCTTAGGGGTTTGGGTTTAACCCTATGGATTTTCCCTCGTGAAATCCCTGGGGGTTGGTCTCTCCCTCCAGGAGACAGTTAAGCACTTCAAAATCCCCCCAATGTTCTGTTACTTCGGGGGCCTTGTCGACTGGTCCAAAGAAAGTTTGCTGGACCTTTAGGACTTTCGCCACACGCACAGTCCTGTAGGTCATCCAAGTCCAAAGGTTGGCTTTCGGATTTAGACCCAAGCCTACAGCAAAGGCTGTATGGAAGAGCCTCCCTCTCTGGAGCTGGCTCCTCTGGTGGCGTCTGTTCCTCCCATGGAGACTTTGGTCCCTATCGAGGAGATGGATTTTGAGGGTGTAGGCATGGCAGAGGAAGACAATGTTATCTATATTTCTCCTGGGTGCTCGGATATTGGCCCATATGAGTAGTCCGATGATGACCCTACCAGTGAGGATGGTTCCCAGGGGGAAGATGGCCCCGAGGCTGCTGAAGCTGAGGCTCAGCATGCTCTGTCTGGGATGCGGCATCTGTTTGGTCAGATCTGTCTCTGCCAGAAGGCACTATCGTGTCTGCAGCACTGGCCACTGCCTGGACTCATGTTATGGAGAAGAATTCTTCCTCTACCCGTGCTCCCGGGTTTGCTGGACTGCAACTCGGCGTTGGTGATCTGCCGGAGGCTTCCTCCAATGACTATGCCATGCATGACAGGCAGCTAGCCTCTCAACCAGCTAAGCTGGAATCGAGAGAGCTGGAGACCTGGCCTAGCAAATCAGTGGATCAGGTGGTGTTCGGAAGTTTAGTAACACCACAAGATGGAGAGAATGTTGTGCCTGTCCATCCAGATTCTGTCGTATTTAGACTACCTGACAGTTTGTCTGTATACGGTATCCGACTTGCCTGAGGCACGGCTTTGAGAGCATCGGCAGCCTTGCAAGTCTCTTTGCTCTCCAATGTCGTGCTGGCCTGGCGGTTTCCAGTATTGAAAAACTGCCTGGTTGAGGAACCCTACCTTTACCGTTTGTTGACTGCCCTCTTCTCGGGCTCTACCTTGTTTGGGGGAGTGCTTCCTGGGTTGCTTGGTAAGGGTGTCTCCGCTTTTCTCCCTCTGTGGCGGGAGATCACGGAAGATGCTTCGGCTTTGTCTGTGGTCAGGGAGGTTCTAGGCGTCCCCTTCTTCGGGATCCGCCACTCGCCGCCCAGTCTATTTTCTTTCCTCCTTCAGAGGATGCAGGAAAGGCACGGGCGCTCCAGGAGGAAGTAGGGTCCATGCTTGCCCTGTTTCACGTGCAATGGCAAGGTCTTCCAATTCCAGGCCATTCCCTTCGGGCTCACGACAGCTCCTTTGGTTTTCACCAAGCTACTGCAGGTGGTCGTGGGATTCCTACACTCACAAACGTCCACATCTATTTCGACGACTCCTTCATGCTTCATTTGATGAGGGAATCGCTAGTGAAGGACACCCTTCTGGTCCTGAAAGTCTTGCTCAGAGTCGGCTTCATTCCTTTCCAGTGAGGTTTCCCCATTCCAGGACTTCGTCTTCCTGGGGAACCGTTGGACACGATTCGGGGCTTAGCCCTTCCATGTTTTGAGAAGTTCCAGAAGGCTAGGGCTCTAGCCCTGACCTTCATCGCTTGGTCGCATGCCCAGGTGCGTTGGTTCCTCAGTTTTCTGGGGTATCTCAACTCCCTGGCAGATGTGGTCCCCCTAGGGAGGCTTCACATCAGACCGATCCAGATGTTCCTCCTATCCGTCATCCAGGAATTGGGAGGCCTGGATTCCTCTTACCCAGCTGGTCAGGGAGGTCGCTCACTGGTGGACCATTCAGGAGAACATTCTACGCAGGGTGTCTCTGACCAAGCCTGTCTCCTCTATGACCCTGTTCACGGATACGTCCATGACAGGATGGGGAGTTTACCTTGACGGCCAATGCCGCATGTGGAGACAGTTCTCGCAGCACATCAATGTGCTCAAGATGAGGTCTGTTCTTTTGGCTCTGCAGTCCTTTCAGGGGATCCTGCAGTGTGGCTACCAACAAATCTACAGTTGTCACATATCTGGAGAGACAGAGGGGCACCTGGTCTCACGTCCTGTGTGCCCCTGCTATCCCTATTCTTCCACTCTGCGAGGAGATGCAGTTGACCATCGCAATCAAGCATCTTCCTGGCAAGCTGAACGTGTTGGCAGACACTCTCTCCATATGCAGCCAGCCGGTGTTGACAGAATGGCAACTGTGTCGCTTGATTTTCGAGAGGATTTGTTAGGTGTGGGACAGACCTATTATAGACCTATTTGCCACTTCCCTGAACAACCACCTGCCAACCTTCATCTCTACGGTCCCAGATCCGAAGGCTTGGGCTGTGGACGCACTTTCTCTGGACTGGGACAGGATGTATGCATATGCATTTCCTCCCTTCACTCTGGTGGGGGGGGGGGGGGGGGGGGGTACTATAGAAGTTCCGGGAGCATCACTGCTCCTTACTTCTGATAGCCCCTCTGTGGCCAAGGCATCCTTGGTTTCCAGAGCTCTTGTCGTTTCTGGTGGAGGAGCCCCTGGCTCTCCCCACCAGACTTAATCTCCTTTGCCAGCCTAGGTCCAGAATGACACACTCTCGACCAGAGATCCTCCACTATCACGCGTGCTGGCTATCTCTGGAAGCCTCGCCAAGGCAGGCTTTTCTTGAGAAGTGTCAGATTGCAATGAGCAATCAATCAGGGCTTCCTCTGCTGCCGTCTGCCAGTCATGTTGGAAGCTCTTCTGTGATTGGTGTGGATTGTTGATTGCGGATTTCCTACTTTCTAAGTTTAGGGACCACAATCTGGCACCTGGCACTACTGCTGGCTATTGTACAGCTATTGTCAGTGTCCTTGCTTTTTATGAAGTGAAGTCCACGCCTTGTCGTTGCTCCCTTCTTGTCTACGTTGGTCCAGAGGCTACAATGCTGTAACTCTCCTAGCTGGATGGGCTGCCTGGCTGCTAGTCACCACTATGGTAACAGGAATTCTCATACTACAGTAATGGTAATTATTACTGAAATGAAATTGAGGTTTTTTAAATGTAAAACCAATATTCAGGAGGTAATACTTACCATAACTTTATGGAGTACCACCCTATCCTTCCCTCTTCCTTATCTGCCTGGCTGCCCCTCTGTTGGGTACTCCATAAAGGTTATTAGAGGAAGGGAGATCACTCAATGTTCCTGCTGTGATGGCTCATGGATTGTAGGGAGGGCAGGATTTTTTAATCTTTTGTTGCTGGGATGCAAAAATGGGTGTAGGTATCGCATTTGCACACCAAAGTTATGGCAAGTATCACCTCATGAAAGTTGGTTTTACATGCAAAAAAAACTCAAATTGTTAACAGTAACTTAACAAAGGATGTCAGTGTATTGTAAATAGTACATCTGAATCAGGTAGGTCTGTGTATTATAATAATTATCTTCAACAGAGATTTCAGTGTATTGAAACCATTTTATTTGAACCAAATATTTCCTGAAAAACAAATGACATTCCAGCACCTTACCTGTACAAATGACATTCCAGCACCTTACCTGTTCAAATGACATTCCAGTACCTTACCTGTACAAATGACATTCCAGCACTTTACCTGTACAAATGACATATCAGCACCTTACCTGTACAAATGACATTCCAGCACTTTACCTGTACAAATGACATTTCAGTACCTTCCCTGTACAAATGACATTTCAGCACCTTACCTGTACAAATAACATTCCAGTACCTTACCTGTACAAATGACATTCCAGCACCTTACCATTCCAGCACTTTACCTGTACAAAAGACATTCCAGTACCTTACCTGTACAAATGACATTCCAGCACTTTACCTGTACAAATGACATTCCAGCACTTTACCTGTACATTACCTGTACAAATGACATATCAGCACCTTACCTGTACAAATGATATTCCAGCACTCTACCTGTACAAATGACATTTCAGTACCTTCCCTGTACAAATGACATTTCAGCACCTTACCTGTACAAATGACATTCCAGTACCTTACCTGTACAAATGACATTCCAGTACCTTACCTGTACAAATGACATTCCCGCACTTTACCTGTACAAAAGACATTCCAGTACCTTACCTGTACAAATGACATTCCAGCACTTTACCTGTACAAATGACATTCCAGCACTTTACCTGTACAAATGACATTCCAGCACTTTACCTGTACAAATGACATTTCAGTACCTTCCCTGTACAAATGACATTTCAGCACCTTACCTGTACAAATGACATTTCAGTACCTTCCCTGTACAAATGACATTTCAGCACCTTACCTGTACAAATGACATTCCAGTACCTTACCTGTACAAATGACATTCCAGCACCTTACCTGTACAAATGACATTCCAGCACCTTACCTGTACAAATGACATTCCAGCACCTTACCTGAACAGATCCCAAGGTATTTTGTTTTCCTTTAGATGTAGTTCACGGATAGCCTCTGTTTTATTATACTTCTGGTACATTAGGCCATACATTTTTGGAAGTGGCAGATTCTTCCCAAGTTTCTGTAGCCAGGCTGTGTGTTGAGCAGAAGGACCATTCCTATATAATACATACAAGAGGCCAATAAAGATCAATACATGGAAGAGGCCAAATAGGCCTACAATAAATTGCTCTACAACTTAAAAGGAAGACATTGTTGACTCATAAATTTTTTTTATGAAAACTTGAAATCATATTCTTTATACATGATACTACAAAAATGCCATCACTCCAGACCTATTGCTTGTTGAAAAAAAAATTAAGATCTCAACTCATTTGACCCAGGACACCTTGATAGGTTATAAATTAGAAGCCCTTCATCCACTTTGTTAAAGAACCAATATCAAGCGCCTGAACCTTTTCATTATTGGGAAGAAGTTGTTTGAAGATTTTAACACATTTAATCTTAGACATTAGATAAGAGAAAAGGTCAATCACATGAGCAAAAATAGTAACTTTTCATCCCAGCATTCCACAGACCAAATGTCAAATATAGCCTAAGACTTTTGGTTATTGTGAAGAAGCCATTTTAAAGATTTTGACATAATTGACACTTGTGACCTTAAAGAAGTGTCAAGGTCAATGATATGAACAAAATTGGTAGCCCTTTATCTCAGCATGCTACAGGCCCAATATCAGCACTTTAATCCTTTTGGTTATTGAGATGCTGTTGAGATTTTTTTTTCAAATTTGTTTCTGTGACCTTAAAAGTAGGTTAAGAACAATAATATGAACAAACTTTGTTTCCCTTCATCCCAGCATGCTACAATGCCAATATAAGCACCATGGGCCTTTGGGTTACTGAGAACAAGTCATTTAAAAATGTCAGCATATTTGACCCCTGTGACCTTGAAAGTTAGTCAAGGACATAAATTTATCAAATTTGATAGCCCTTCATCCCATCATACTACAGCACCCTTGGCCTTTTGTTTATTGAAAAATCATTTGAATGGAAAATCTATGCACAATGGATGACACTTGACTAATGGTGCACAATGATGGACAAAACACGATGGCTATAGGTCATTCTGACCCTTTGGGTGAGATGACGAAAATATAAATTATTTTTTTATGGTATATCTATAACGAGGTAAGAGGACAATATCACTAAGCAGTCTCCTGTGATTGGGTATATTTTTTATTGTGATATGATATTGTCATAACTATATCAAGAAAACAAGTATAAGACTATAATTTAACAAGAGGCCACTGGGCTTTACAGCTTGCAAGAGTTCGTATTTTTATCGCAAACAGCTATCTCATGACAATATTAATGGAGTTAGAATGATTTTTTTTTTTATAAAAAAACAAACACATATGTATCCAAAAGCATTATTTTCCTATATATTCCTATATTTAAATTAAAATTGACCCCCTACGCTGCATCAAATGGGAAGCTCAGTTTTAAAAATTTATGCTGAGAATTTTCCATCAATGGAAAGTTTTATTAATCTACAGCATTGGAGTCTGGATGATAAAATTTTTGAAATAAAAGCAATTTTTTCCCCTTTGAGCCCTGGCCTTTAGAACTGACTCAGGGATGAGGTTGGCATCTTTCATACAATCAAACTGCTATCTGATACTAGTAAATCAAAACCAAGACTGAATTACTTCTCAATGAAAGGAAACAAAAAATACCAAAACATGTTATTTTCCAATATCAACTATCATTAAAATTTACTCCATCCCTAGAGGGCAAGGGGTTATGAAATTAAAATTTCGGTAAAGCACCTTGAGACCTTTACTTTCATAAAAAGTTTTTTCAATTTTTGAAATATAACCAATTTTTCCCCCTTTTGGCCCTATCCTTCAGGCCAAAGGTTGAATCAAACAATTTACAATTTCATTGTTCATGAAAACCTTTCCGCAAAAATTTATTGTAATCACTGAAGTCAAAGATGTGAAAATGTTCAAACAAAGATAATTAATTTTCTTAGTTTGTATCCAAAATAAAACTTTCTGATATGTCAATTTTTTCTATTCATTTCCAGATGAAGAAAAAAAAACAAAAACAAAAAAAAACACTGAGATCCCAGAAAGATCTTGGCACCCACCACTGCTTGATCTTTATTTGTTCTTTGAAAGTTGGATATTTTTTTTCTTGTCTCTTCTCTGTTTTTGCTCTTAATGATAAGAACAACTAAGAACCAAGTAGTTCTCAAGAAACAGTGATTACACACTTTCTAAGTTCAAATCGAAGACAGCTGACTATTAGCTATTTTATATTCATTCCCAAAATCAGATGGACACAACAAGGAACCAAGGAGAACCTCACATGAAATTTGAGAGAGACCCATCCAGTACTTCTCAAGAAACAGTCATAAAATATTTATTGTAAAAAATCAAAGAAGGCATCTGTCAGTCATTTTGAGTTTCTGATATTTATTGTCTGATATGACAAGGTAACTGGGACTGGTAAACATGTTATTGTCAGTTGTGACACAGTAATCTGAACTGTTATAATTACTGTCAGCTATAACATTGTAACTTGGACTGGTACACAGTTAACTGACAGCTGTGACAGTGTAACTTGGACTGGTACACAGTTAACTGACAGCTGTGACATTATAACCTGGACAGGTACACAGTTAACTGACAGCTGTGACATTATAACCTGGACAAGTACACAGCAAACTGACAGCTGTGACAGTGTAACCTGTACTAGTACACAGTTAACTGACAGCTGTGACAGTGTAACTTGGAGTACACAGTTAACTGACAGCTGTGACATTATAACCTTGACAGGTACACAATTAACTGACAGCTGTGACAGTGTAACCTGGACTGGTACACAGTTAACTGACAGCTGTGACAGTATAACCTGAACTGGTACACAGTTAACTGACAGCTGTGACATTACAACCTGGACTGGTACACAGTTAACTGTCAGCTGTGGCAATATAACCTGGACTAGTACACAGTTAACTGTCAACTGTCACATTATAACCTGGACTGGTACACAGTTAACTGACAGCTGTTAGAGTGTAACCTGGACTGGTACACTGTTAACTGACAACTGTCACATTATAACCTGGACGGGTATACAGTTAACTGACAGCTGTGAAAAACATTATAACCTGGACTGGTACACAGTTAACTGACAGCTGTCACATTATAACCTGGACGGGTATACAGTTAACTGACAGCTGTGACATTTTAACCTGGACTAGTACACACTTAACTGTCAGATGTGACAGTGTAACCTGGACTGGTACACAGTTAACTGACAGCTGTGACATTATAACCTGGTCTAGTACACAGTTAACTGACAGCTGTGTCATTATACACGACTTGATTGATGTATTACGTCATTTGCAGTAGGCGCGCCCATCTGTAATCACGTGGTCAGTCCGCCATTACTGTCATGATCGGCAAGGTAAACAATCATGGCGGATACGCGGAAGTATCGAGCTGGCGGGGGGAATTCGTGTGCTATTGTCGGATGTGCAAACAACAGAAGGAAGTTATTTCAATGGCGACATGAAGTATGTGACAAACACAACATAATACACGACGAATGTCCGTGTTTGCTTCCATTTTCGCTTCACAGACTACCACCAAACGAGAGCCAAAGACTGGACTGGGTGAAAGCTATCAACAGGAAAGATCTACCAAAGCGAGTTTTCGTTTGTTCATGCCATTTTGAAGATGGACTCCCAACACCGAAAAATCCGGTTCCTAGTATCGCTATGGGTGTGTATTTCATTTATTTTTTTTAACAGTTAAAAAAATCAAGATGTACACACACGAAGCGTAAGCCGTAACTGTCAACTTGTAATTAGGCCTACTAATGCTATGTCAGTTGCTGATGCTTGCAAACTACATGTAGCTAGGAATATGAATATTATACTCACACAAGTAGAAATATTGATAATAGATTATTGAAATTCGAGAATATAATTACAATTTACATGTAGTTAATGTGTGTGTAACTGTAACAGTTATGCAAGTTTTACATGTACCTGTTAGATGTATTTCTAATGGATTACTGATCAGTATATGTACACTTGTAGTATAAATAAAATTGATGTCAGTGTTCCCCATTACTCTTGATTGAGGGTACAAAACCACTGAAATTAGTGAAATTCAGAACTTGTACCCCTGCTTTTCAAGGACTCCCCTAATTATATATACATACATTACTGGAGGTACAGTGTACCCCCCAGTTTTAAAATACCAGGGGGAATACTGTGATGTAACCTGATGTTGGGAGTCATACAAAACATTACATGTACCGGATATGTCAAAGTTAATCCCCCCCCCCCCGCATCAAAGTAAAGAGGGGTGGGGGGTGGGGGTAATGGAATCAGAATGTCTGTCTGTCTGGAGGATATCTCCTCCTAAACTTGTGAACCAATTTCAATGAAACTTCACGTTAGGGATTATCTACATGTATGTGTTAAATAATGTGCATGCAATATTCTCCCAATATTGATCTTATTTGAAATAGCATAGGCTTTACATTTTTTTCAAATTTATCCTGTTTAGGCTATGAAACACCTGCTAACAGAAGCAGAAGAATCCTGAAAAGAATAAGGAAAGGTAGGTAATTACACATAATTTTACATTGTCAGTTTATTCAAAAACTTTATCTAATCTTGTATATCAGTGTTACCTGAATAATTATTTTGCTACACAAGATTTCAATATTTTAATTTCTTTACTCCTAGCATAATTACTCAGTGAAACATTATCTTGTAATTTAAATTATGTTGGAGAAATAGAATCTTTCGTCCTCTTTGGGATGTGGTTGGAGGTATCTGAGGGTGAGATTATTTGGTTAAAGAGTCGTGTTTGATAGCTTGATAATCCCCTGGGGGTTGAATGGTGATTTTTCTCATAATTTTGGCTCCTATACATGCAATGTTGTTATTTTAATGGTTGGCTTTGTGGATTGGATGCTGTGTTCAATTGTTGATGTGACGTCATTGAATTATTGTGATGGCATTGTCCTAAAAGGGAAATCCCCAGTTTCAACCTCTAGGGTGAGATATGGAAACTGGATATCCCTGTCTGGGGTAGGAAGGGAAGTTAATGAATCTTCCAGAATCATTTTATTTCATAACAAAACCTTTAATATCATTTTTCAATTATTTTTAAAGACCCTCTGATGACGAAAAAGACTGATGACAGGATGGAATTTAATGACAACCTTTTACTTACCAGGTAATTACATGTATTTGGTGTTAAAAGAGATTTAATATAATTCAACCATATTTCAATAACTGGTCCTTATTTAAATAGTAGAAAGAAATCGGTATGTACTTTTTAAATGAAGAAATGAACACATATATACTCTACGTCTCTACCCTTTAAAAATTAAAAAAAAACCTTTAATTTTGACATATATCAAAAAGATAGGCTAATGTTGCCCATGTGATCAAGTGGTGTGTTGTCACCAACATCTGAAAAGTTTATTTGAACTTTAATGAAACTAATTATTTGTATATTAATATATGGTGCTACATGATCACAACTGGGAGTCCAATTACTATTATTGTAACAATGCTATATCCAGTCAGCACTATGTAAAATATTTATTTTATTCAGTACACCGTAATTTATTAGAAATTTATTGGAAAAAAAATGTGTTTAATTTAAAGACTATATTTTCTCAACTTATGAGAAATTCTTCATTAAAGCCTTTTGTGTGGGTGCAAAGGGATTAAGAAATTGGTACTGGAAACAATTAAGTGCTATAATGTAAATCTGATTGTTATCACTTTCATTTCTCAGTGATGATGAGCCACTTTTGACTGGTTGTGAAGAACAAGCTAAAGATATGGGTGTCCAAACATATTTTGAGACTGTCTCCTCATCTACTCAGTGGTCTGATGAAAGCCTGCAGGATCATATATACGTCCAAGTGTCAGCCAATTCCAATAGCAATTCTGATGCCAGTACACAGACCCAATCAACATCACATGTATCCAAAGGTGTAAATTGTTCAACGACTCATATTAACATGTCTTGTGAAAAGTTGAACTCAGATTCTTTATCTCACCTGTATACTGGCCTGTGTTTACAAGCATTTATCACCTTGTTGAATATTTTTCAGAACCTGGAACTACCATTTAAGTTCACAATGAATGTAGGAGACCAGTTACTCCTGTTTTTGATGAGACTGAGACTTAATCTTCTTTTTGCAGATTTAGGTCATTGGTTTGGTATTAGTGAGAGTCAAGCTTCCAAAATTTTCAATTGTTGATTGCCAGTTGTAAGTGCTACGCTTCGCCAGTTGATTGTGTGGTTACCTAGGGAAACTATACGTGCAACTATGCCAGCAGCTTTCAAGGAGAAGTATCCTAAAACGACTGTTATCATCGACTGTGCTGAAACATTCATGCAAAGGCCAAAAAATTTGAAAACAAGAGGTGAAACTTACAGCCACTATAAATCACATAATACAGTGAAGTACTTGATAGGTATTGCACCTTTTGGACAAATTATGTTTATTTCAAAAGGTTTTGGGGGAAGAGCTAGTGACAAATTTATAGTGGAGAAGTCTGGTTTTCTTGAGTACCTATTACCTGGAGATGAAGTCATGGCAGACAGAGGTTTTACAATTAATGACTTACTATTTCCACGCAAAGTTAAGCTTAATATGCCAGCATTTACAAAAGGAAAACCACAACTGACAGAAGAAGAAGTTACAGAAACTAGACGTATTGCCCATGTAAGAATTCATGTGGAATGGGCTATAAGGAGGCTGAAAGTCTTTAAAATACTGAGCAATATTGTGCCGGTTACCTCTGTTAAAAAACTTGATGACATTTTAATTGTTTGCTCAGCACTTGCAAATCTAGGGACTGAATTAATAAGAGGTGAGGAAAAAGATGACAGTTTTGATGAGTATATAGGAAATAACATTATCTGTCTTGGATATATCAAGAGAGTACACATGTAATACAGTATTTATCTAGCAATAAGCCCATGCCTTGTAATAAGCCCACCCATGTTTTTCATAGAATTCAAATTCATTGTCCTATATAAACTGTATCCCTCCAATAAGCCCACCCAAACTATTGATCCAATATTTAACACTGGCCCCATGGGTTTATTGCAGGGTAAATGCAGTATATGTACATGTACCTGGTATGTACTGTACAATAAATGTCTAATCGGCAAACATACTCGGCACAGTAGTTTGATTGTCTATATCTGGGATTGCGAGTAATGATTACACCCCCCCCCCCAACAAAGTTAAGGGGATAAACTGGAATCAGGTTGTCTGTCCATCCGTCGTTCTGTAGACACATTTTGTTCGGACAACTCCTCCTAAACCAGTGAATTGATTTCAATGAAACTTCATAGTAATGTTAGGGACAATGTGTAGATGTGCCTGCACCCTTTTTCTCTCAAAATATTTTGGTTACTATGCTATCCAGGTCACTCTGGGGTGGGGGCGGTGGAGTGTGGGGGTATTAGTTATCCTTTGGATGACAGTTCTAGTTTATTTTCATTTTAAATCTTGCTAATTAATGAGTTCTGAAGATTACTAAAGAACATGCTATGATCTCATTAATAAATCAGCTTTGTATTTCATTTCACTATTATCGCAGCAACTATATACAGCATTTTTATGTGAAACAGGTTTCAACTTTAATTATATGATAATAATTTCAAAATTTAATCAGACTAAAGAACAATAAGAGTCTCACAAATACATGTAGATACTTTGGATATTTATTGATATGTGCATGAAGAATTTGTAAGTTTGATTTCCTTACTTTATAGAGGTAAAAATAAAACTATTATTTCCTCTTCTTGAAAAATTGTCTTTTTGTATTTCTTATCTGATTGATATATAGATAAACTTATATAATGGAAAATTAACTCTTGGAAAGGTATTGTTAGCAAAATTACTGTGACAATTGTAGATTGTAATACAGTTGATTTGCTCATTTGTTGTTAGTTCTTACAGCAGATGGTTTTGTATTCATCACTTAATTGAAATCGAGAAGATTCGAAATCATCAACAATTCTTGGCAGAAATTTCTGGAAGTAGAACTTCCTTAATCTTTGGATTTGCATGTTACAGAAGTCAACATCATACCCAACCTCCACAGATTGATATTCTTCTGGTGTCCATATTACTAATTTGCATTTCTGCAAGTTGCAAACATGAAGAGTAAATTGAACTTGAAGATAATAACCTCTGCTACTCTTTGGTTTCAATTGATTTGTATCATTGATCCTTACCACATCATATTTTCCTGAACAAAACTAAGCTTCTAAGGAATCATACACACTACTTAACACAGGACACTTGATTTCAAGCAGGTAGTTTCCTGTATCAGTGTGAATAATGCCATCAGGAGACACAGAAAGCCATGGATAATTCTTTGATACAACAGTTCCAGAGTCTGAAATAACAATGCCATTTTCTCGCAATGTTGTTTTGGCGGTAACTTCACCAATATTACCATGCCTAGTATAACTATTTCCCAGAAAGGATGGAAACATGTGTTCCCGTATGAAGTTATCTGGGTTGGTAGTATCTCTAACTGGCACTTTATGTGCTGTACTACCAGTAATTCTGACCTTTCTACTATCTTTCCAAATTTGAGAGCTAGCTTGAGTAGTGGTTGTTTCATTTAAGCTGCTTATCTGTGATTCTGTAAGCTGTATGTATTGCCTGTAGAACTCAAAACACTTATCACAAGAACATCTTCATGAACTCCATGTGATGCAGGGATTGATACTTGTTGAGGTGTTGCACAGACTGATTTATGAATAATACTGTTTTCAAGCATAAATAAGTCTTTAATGTCTGAACTTTTGACAAAGGCTTTATACTCATCATGACTTGTAAACATGTTGAATTCAGACTTATCTCTACCTTCTTCCATTCCGTCACTCTCACTAGCAAGCTCGCTCTCAACTTTGTCTCTCCTAGGCTTCTTAAAATCCATGCTAGTGATGGAACGAGGTTCAATGTTTCTAGTTGTTCCCCTGTTCCATTTCATTTGATCATCTGTACAACCTTTTCCAGTCATATTCATTCGCACAGCATATTCAATTTTCCACACAAGAGTTCCAATATGACTACAGGTTTTGCTCTTACCTGCAACACACGAACACTCTCCCATTTGTATCTTTCCGTCACGCTTTCCATTACCCATGGTAAATGATGCTCCTGATTTGCATTTTGAGACAGTCTCACCTCTGATTTTAGCAATACCATATCGTCATTTACATTTACGTGAACAATCCGACCTAATGAACCACTCTGAAAATAGTTGAAACTGTCAAGAGATTTAAACTACCTCATAGCATCCCCATCCACTGCACGACTTTGTACCAAATAATTATAAATATTACCATAATACACTGCAGGCCACTCTCGCATATCATCCTTCCTCTCAGTTGTATTACATGAATCTGGACGAATGTCAGCATTTTTCCACAGTTTAGAATGAGACATAGTGATTTCTTAATGTCTGTATCTTAAGATCTTGTGTAGTTTCATTCAATTTTTTCGCGGTATCCGACTGTCAAATTTGAGTGTTTTCCGCCCACAAGCTGTTTACGGTAGTCGATCATGACCGTAATGGCGGCCGATTTCGACGCCCCCTATATGAAAATATATGAACTAATGGGGAGATAACTGAAAAAAGTTGTGTATAACCTGGACTGGTACACAGTTTACTGTCAGCTGTGACAGTATAACCTGGACTGATACACAGTTAACAGACAGATGTGACATTATAACATGGATTGGTATATAGTTAACTGACAGCTGTGACATTATAACCTGGACTGGTACACATTTAACTGTCAGCTGTGACAGTATAACCTGGACTAGTACGCAATTAACTGACAGCTGTGACAGTGTAACCTGGACTGGTACACAGTTAACTGTCAGCTATGACAGTGTAATCTGGACTGGTACACAGTTAACAGACAGATGTGACATTATAACATGGATTGGTATACAGTTAACTGACAGCTGTGACATTATAACTTGGACTGGAACACAGTTTACTGACAGCCGTGACATTATAACCTGGACTGGTACACAGTTAGCTGACAGCTGTGACAGTGTAACTTGGACTGGTACACAGTTAACTGACAGCTTTGACAGTATAACCTGGTTTGGTACACAGTTAACTGTCAGCTTTGACATTATAACTTGGACTGGAACGCAATAAACTGTCAGCTGTGATATTATAACCTGGACTGGAACACAGTTTACTGACAGCTTTGACATTATAACCTGGACTGGTATACAGTTAGCTGACAGCTGTGACAGTATAACCTGGACTGGTACACAGTTAACTGACAGCTGTGACAGTATAACCTGGACTGGTACGCAGTTAACTGACAGCCGTGACATTATAACCTGGACTTGAACACAGTTAACTGACAGCTGTGACAGTATAACCTAGACTGGTACACAGTTAACTGACAGCTGTGACAGTATAACCTGGTTTGGTACACAGTTAACTGTCAGCTTTGACATTATAACTTGGACTGGTACACAATAAACTGTCAGCTGTGACATTATAACCTGGACTGGAAAACAGTTAGCTGACAGCTGTGACAGTATAACCTGGACTGGTACACAGTTAACTGACATCTGTGACATTAAAACCTGGACGGGTATACAGTTAACTGACAGCTGTGACATTATAACCTGGACTGGTACACAGTTAACTGACAGCTGTGACATTATAACCTGGACGGGTATACAGTTAACTGTCAGATGTGACAGTGTAACCTGGACTGGTACACAGTTAACTGACAGCTGTTAGAGTGTAACCTGGACTGGTACACTGTTAACTGACAACTGTCACATTATAACCTGGACTAGTACACAGTTAACTGACAACTATATTTTTTAACCTGAACTGGTATACAGTTAACTGACAGCTGTGACATTATAACTTGGACTGGTACACAGTTAACTGACAGCTGTGACAGTATAACCTGGTTTGGTACACAGTTAACTGTCAGCTGTGACAGTGTAACCTGGACTGGTACACAGTTAACTGACAGCTGAGACAGTATAACCTGGATTAGTACACAGTGAACTGACAGCTGTGACAGAATAATTTTGACTAGTACATAGTTAACTGACAGCTATGACAGTGTAACCTGGACTGGTACACAGTGTACAGTCAGCAGTGACAAAGTAACATGGGTGCATACAGGGTTAATTATCAGCTGTGAGAAGCTTACCTTAACTGGTACATAGTTTACTGTCAGCTGTGAGAAGCTTACCTTAACTGGTACATAGTTTACTCTCACCTGTGAGAAGCTTACCTGAACTGGTACATAGTTTACTGTCAGCTGTGAGAAGCTTACCTGAACTGGTATATAGTTTACTGTCAGCTGTGAGAAGCTTACCTGGACTGGTACACATAGTTTACTGTCAGCAGTGAGAAGCTTACCTTAACTGGTACATAGTTTACTGTCAGCTGTGAGAAGCTTACCTGGACTGGTACACATAGTTTACTGTCAGCTGTGAGAAGCTTACCTGGACTGGTACATAGTTTACTGTCAGCTGTGAGAAGATTTCCTGGACTGGTACATAGATGATGAATTAAAACAAACCATAATGTCTTATCTTCCTGTCAACATACCTTAACTTTTTAAAAAGTATTCATCAATTATTTCCGTCTAAAGATGCCAACAGATTTGATTAAAACTTCAGGCTGTTCAAACAAAAGAATACCTGGAAAGGTGTTTGTTCTGTTAAGCTTCAGGGTTCAAGGTTCAGTCACAAAGAATGCATTTTATGTTAGTTCTAGCACAAAAGTTATAACAGGAAGTTGAAGATCTCAACAAGGTGTTGCTGGTCTATCATTACTAATTAACACACTTAAGATGGAGTCTACATTCCTTTTGATAGCAGTTCTCTTGGTGTGGTCACTTCCAGCTGTGGTTACTCGATGTTCTTTGTCTACATATTCTAGAACACTCAGATGTTATCAAGACCAAGCTAATGTCATACCAAGTTTTCCACGCTACAATGGTACCCTCAGCTATCTATCATTTAATGGACAGTGGATTATAAGAAACCTAGACAAGAACTCGTTCTCAAACATTTCCTTGAATGTGAATCAGCTCAAACTAGAAAACATTGGTTTAGAACATTTGTCGTGTGATGTTTTTACAAACGTCGGAC